ATGCGAGAGAATGGTCAGGGGCCACAACTTGCGTCACCAAACAGCGTCCTTTTTGGGCGCATTTCAGCGACACTACTTCCAGGTACATGGGCACAAACCGCGATGATGACGTTCGAGGTGCGGCAAGGGGCTATTTACCTACCCCAACCTCCAGAATTGCCGCTTTTGGCGGCTCCAACACTGTCTGTTGATCTGAAACGTGCTTGTGAACTACGCCCAGAAGAAGGTTAAGACATTTTTCGATTCTTCTGCGACATAGGCTTTTCCGGCTCTCCGCCCGCCGAGCCAAGAATATAGCGTCTAGATTGGGCAAAAGCAGGCTCAGGTAAGTCTGGTGGGCAACGGTCGTGGACATGCGCGAGTAATTCATACTCCTGTGGAGCTAATGAGCGCCGAAGTGCTCCTTTATTGTCCTGACTGGCTTACTATGTAACATAGTGTACACTACGGTATTATTTCCGTTGGAGCTGGTCTTTTACCAGGAGGAGGCAGAATTCAGCCGGGCAGGGGCTTTTGCACAAACTTCATGCATGTTTCGAGAGACGGCGCACGTCTGGATGGCGTCATCTTGTCCTCTTAGTAGAAGCAATTTTGACCAATGAGAGCTGGAGCTTAGAACATCAATAACTCTGGGCTGCGCGTATGATTGGTCAAGTGACGCCAAGCTGCATCAGAGGCTGTGCACCTGATGGCCGTTAGGACCTGCGGGACGGAACAGAGTGAGTCAGTCAGTCACAGATCGTAAGAGACAGGGGTCACACAACAAGGGGCACGGTTGGTGTGGATGACTGAACAACGATCGGGAAGAAGATCCCCTGTATATCGGGCAACGAAAGACTCTTGATTCTCTATCTAAGTGATGGTGAAAAGTTGGCTTCTTATACTTGGAATTTTGGGCTGAGTGGCGATGTCGCCACCTAGGCAGCATAGATGACGATGTCACCTAGAAGGTTCGAATCCATCACTAATATGGCATTACGAACTGCTTGCTGCCTTTTAGGCAGCACCGTGAATGAGCGTCTTGATCTTGACAGGGCGGTAGAAACCTTTCGCCAGAACGCAAGTACGGTACGGTCAAAGCCTTGAGATGTACCTACGGCAAGCAACTGGTAAGTTAATTCTCTCCTCGATGCGTGATACTGTAATTTCGCATCTCGAATTTTTGTTATTTGAAGAGTTCAAAGAGCATGAGAGGGGAGTATCTGCAGATTATGGAAGGGCCGGAAAAAATTACACGATATGTATTTCGCGCAGCATCGAAGACTGTGAAGCGTAGACTGGTACACCAGATTCCTAAATACGCTACAACTTGGCGACGGATTGTCGTATCGACGAGCTCCAACTCTTTGCTTTCCAGAGAGCTCTGCACCTTTTCCATTGTCAACGTCTCTGTCGAGGCGTTCAAGATCTCGACCGTAGTGTTAAAAGCGTCGTCCATGCTCATTTGCAAGAAGCAAATCAATAGCTGTTCATGGATAACAATGTCCTTGTCTTGGCTATTAATCTGAGCTCGAAGTCGCTTTAGGTCGTCGACCTTCTCCTGCACAGTTCTATTCGTCTGCGTACTAACGTCGTATAGCATTCGGATCAGCTGTCGAAGGCGCGCTTTGTTCGATGTCGCATATCGCTTAACGAGGGACCAGGGTGGTTTTCCATACATGGAAAGGCCTGCAATCGATAATCGGTATCGGCCCCACATTTATTGCAAGTATTGCAATACACCTTTCCACAAAGATGAACGTGATAGATGACGGAGTGCATCACCTTTGCAAATACCAAGAAAACGGCCAGCTAGGCATTGAGGGGCCTCATCATGGAGACGCCGGCTGAGGCCGTGATCATGGTGGGGCGAAGCGCGTCGCCTGCGTCGACACCCGCGAAAAGATCGACACGCGTCGTGAGGCCAAGCACCAAAATTCGAGAAGCCGCGCGACAGCCCGACGATCTGGCGGAGAAGACAACACGCGCAACTAGGCTTGCAACGCGCATTGCCTCGGACGATGTCGCCATCAGTGACGCGACTGAGCGGCGCAAAGTTGCCAGCAGCAGCAGTGGCGCGAACGAAGGCCGAGCCATGCTCCAGAAAGTTCTCGAACTCTTGAGCGAGTCACGTCAAGAAACGCAAAAGCTCAGCCGAGCGATAGATGCGCAAAACGAGATCATATCCAAGCAACAGCAGATGATCCAGGAAATGGATCAACAAGGGAAAGAGATGAGAGATGAGCTTCGTCACATCCGAGCGCAGTTAGAGACCCTGGCTACGCCCGCATCTTCTCTGCAGAGCAGTCCGCAGATGTCGTATGCGAGCGCTGCAGGGTCATCGCCGACGATCCAGACAAGGAACCGGGGCACCGTACCAGCAGCTAAATCGGCACGAACAGCCGTCAGCGATAGTCTCTACTGTACGGTGGACACATCACGAGTCGAAGAAGCGAACAGGTGCCAGACGCAGATCGGCAACATCCGAAAGGCCATAGAGAGCGACATGAGAAAGAGTCAGAGGCAGGAGACTTGGAAATGCGCAGCGGTCGTGACAGACGCTCGAAACCCCGACCGGATCAAAATTTTATGCAGAGACCAAACCGAGTTGAAGCAGGTCAAGGAAGCAGCGCAGAAGACGGTAACTTCGGGAGCCAGGGTACTGAGAGATCAGCTTTACCCTGTCAAAGTCGACAACACCAAGCGTACCGCAGTGCTGGACGCCGAAGGCAACGTTCTGCCGGGCGCAGCTGAGGCGCTCGGAGCCGAGAATTACGTCACGATTGCCAAGATCACCTGGCTTAGCAACAGAGAGAAAGCCAAAGCGTACGGGTCAATGGTGATCTATGTCACTAAAGAGAGTGACGCGCAAAGACTTCTGGACGGCGTGTGGTTCGATGTTGCGGGAGAGTCCGCCTGCACCAATGTTTTGAACGCCGCGTAGGACCGATTCAGTGCTTCAACTGTCAAGAGATGGGACACAAGGCGTTTTCATGCAAGAAGCCGCAAAGATGTGGCAGATGCGCGAAAGCAGAACATCACCACAGAGAATGCAAGGAGACAGTGCCAAAGTGCGTGCCCTGCGGTGGACCACACGAATCGTACAGCCGGAACTGTCGGGCGCGGAACCCTGGGGATGAGACGCAGGCAGCGTCTGGCCCTTCGGGCTAAGCAGCGGAAGTGAGAATCCACTTAGGATCGATTATGGCACTAACCTTCAACAATACTAACACACAGGTATTCGACTTCGGATTTCGACAGACCGCGCTTCAGCTGCTGAAGGTAGGACGCTGGACACTTGGAGAAATTGGCCTTCAAGCAGGCCTGTCACGGAGCGAGTAGCGGCGAGGTTGGTGTAGCGTATGCTGACCCGTGGGGCTTAAGGTGTTACGCATTAATGTATTGAAATGTCAGTAGCTTTTACGTCTAGGCCCTATAGGAGAAATCCTCCGGGTGAAATACACATACATACATACTTGGTCCGTCCGTGGGGCTTAAGGTGTTACGCATTAATGTATTGAAATGTCAGTAGCTTTTACGTCTAGGCCCTATAGGAGAAATCCTCCGGGTGAAATACACATACATACATACATACTTGGTCCGTGCACGACGACAAAATGTTACTGACGACCTCAGGTAACGGATGCATTGGTATTGTCAAAAGGAAATGAGAGATGCCATGCATATAACGGTTATAGAGAGTCTATTATCCTTAACCACTGCCCAAGTCAAGGGGACGAAGGTCCCAGTTATATACACAAGAACGGTGCCCATGTGGGTCGAGACACCTCCTCGACTGGGGCGGAATGTCGTTTGACAGGTATCACAATTTATGCCCCATGGTTTAAGCGAAACTATATATTCATCGTCATCCCCGATACTTGGACTTTCCTTGGATACGACCATGTCCAGCTGGTCATCTGCGACCAGATTGCGGCCGATGCGTAATTGCCTCAAAAAGACGGAACATCACGATTGATGGGCAGGAACGGTACGACCGTGCTCTGAGGTGAAAACTTCTTACAGCTCAACTTTCCGCGACCGTACGGTCAAGCTTCGTCAAAGTGATACTCCCGGAGCTGAAGCCTCCGTGTGGGACGGGGTACCGTGACGCCCAACCGGTTAGTGGAGATACATGGTGTGGAGACACATGGTTTCAGGGAAGCTGCGCGACGCGCACGTGACCAGTCGCGTCTTTTGATTCTAGTTACTTGTTTACCTCTCCTCGGTTTCTCGTTTTTCCTCTACCAACAATCAATCAGCCCATGCTCACTGTTCAAACCCAGAATGACCCTTTCAAAGCAACAGATCAGCATCATCTCAGAGAACCCGCTCAATGATACCTTAGATCGTTTCCGGATCAAGCTAGGCGATTGCGACCAAAGCGACCAATTACTGTGGGATGAGATTGCAAGTCTCGTCGGGGCGTTGGTTAGCTCTACGGCGGCATTCCGCCTCCCTTCTCCAGACGCAAGCGGCAATGTGGCTACAAGGCTCTTCTCAATACAGCAGCGTGTTCGAGGAGGCGGGATGACTCTTGAGCCATTCCGCCCTCTCATTTCCTCTGTCGTGGACAATGCTCCTGACGTCAACATTTGGGATGCCGTCCTCAGTCTCATCGACACCCTCAACTCCCTCACTCCTCCTCCATCCAGCATCGTCCCAACCTACAAGGGAACACCCGTCAAGACCAGCTCGAGCCGACTTGCCGATAGCGAAACGCGCGACATTGTCGAAAGGGGAGCTCTTCTTCGAGATAAAAGACTGCACCTTTCGCAATGTGGGGGGATTCTGCGACAAGTTTTTTCGACTCCAAGAGCTGGCGCAACGAACAGAAAGAGATGCTTAATAGGATGATCGTGGCGCACGATGGAAAGAAGTGGACGAACTTTCCGTCCACTCCCGATGAAAAACCGGTCTGGACATGGCTCTGTGCGCTTGAAGAACGCTTCTTGACTGATGCACCCCACAAGTTATACACCACCCGAACCGCTAACCAGTTCAAGGAACGGAAAGGCCAGATGGATATCTTCTTTCAGATGCCAGACAGGGAAGCTAACAGCACCTTTACATACAAGGACGTTCTTGTCGTTGGAGAGCAAAAGAAGTCATACGACGCGAGCCGGTTCAAGGCGGATCTCCTCCAACTTACTCGCTATGTACGGGGTGTCTTTGCCGACCAGCCAACGCGCCGTTTCGTCCACGCGTTCTCCCTCAGCTCTTCCAAGATGGAGCTCTGGGTCTTCGATCGGTCCGGGCCGTATAGCTCAGGGTTATTCGATATTCACGACGAGCCAGACAAGTTCGCGCGAGCTCTTGTTGGATATGCTACGATGAGTGACGATGCGATGGGCCTGGACACGTTCATCGAGCGAGAGGGGGGCCATCGCCATGCCACTTTGGAGGACACAAACGGCAACGAAACAAGAGTCATGCTGGAGGAGCTGATAGTCAGACAGCGCGCTATCGTGTGTCGCGGGACTACGTGCTACTGCACCCGGAACGGGCATGTTGCTAAGTTCTCCTGGGCATCAGATAAGCGGAAACCCGAGGTGGACCATCTCAAGCTGGCAGGAGAGAAGGGTGTCAAGGGGGTGGCGAGAGTGGTGGCGCACCGTCAAATCACCAACATTGCAGACATGCGGAAGGGACTGGAGTTTCCAAAACCTCACCCGTTTCGGGATGAAGACGTTTATTTCAGGGATCTACCATCGGCCGTAGGAAGCACGAGCACAGCAAGTCGCAAGCGAAAATCATCCTCTGACAACACATCTGACAACACCTCTGGATCCAAGAGGCGGCGGTCCAACAGCCAGAAACCGAAGCTGGCTAAGGAAATCAAGGAGCAGCTGTCGATCGGCAAGACCAAACCAAGCTTGTGTACTTCTACGGGCGAGGATCCATTTGAGAACAGGATCTATTCGTGCCTCGTCGTCTCACCAGCCGGCCGTGTCATCAGCGATTTCAAGACGATCAAGGAACTGCTCCAGTCGATGCGAGATGCGATCAGGGCACACCAATCTCTGTATGTGACCGGCAAGATTCTCCACCGCGACGTCTCTTCAAACAATATCATTATTACGAAACCTGAACTGGCGGATGGCTTCAAGGGCATGCTCATCGACCTTGACCTGGCCAAAGTGAGAGACAGTGGCCCGAGCGGAGCGCGGCACCAGACCGGCACGATGCAGTTTATGGCGGTCGAGGTGCTGCGCGAGGCCGATCACACCTACCGACACGATCTGGAGTCGTTCTTCTACGTCCTGATTTGGATGTGTGTGCGTGAATCATGGACCAAGAAGCAGTTTAGCCGTGGAGAGAGGCCCCCTAAGGAGAGTCTTCTTCGGAGATGGGAAGTCGGCAGCTTCAAGTATATTGCGGCTGCTAAAGAAGGCGATATGACCGTCAATAGGCTTGAAGAGATTATGGGCGAGTTTCCAGAGTCGTTGGATGTTGTCAAGCCGCTCTGTTTGAGGATCAGATCGATAATGTTTGGAGACACAGCGAGGCTTAACTTTGGAACCCCTGTAGGGGATTCAGACCAACTTTACAAGCCCCTCGTAGCTGCCTACGATGATACTATCAGCGAGCTCTAGAGAATAGCGGGTTTGTCTCTGGCGGTGAGATGGGGAACTGGCGGATGGCATGAGAAATGCTTTTTGGCCTTTTTTTTTACCTCAGATAATCAGGACGAAGAAGTGGAACTGGATTTCACTCCTCATCGCAGGCCCTCGGATACCACTTACTACTGTGGCACCTGCCAATTCATCTACCAGACTTCGGCCATATACAAACAAATCCCGACGGTCAACGGGACCGATGAAGAGCAAGCTGTCGACACAACTGATTATGGAATTGCACTGATCGCCCCACGCCATCTAACCCACACTCCAACTCTAGTCGGTTCCTTAAGGCCTGTACGGTCCCGTTCAACTTATCCCTTGACGGCGCATATTTCACTGAGCCCAACATCCTCGGGCCGCGTTCTAGGCAATAGCGACATTCTCCGTGTCGTCATGACCCTGCCGCTCTTGTTCCCAAAGTATCGTTCCGACTCGAAGCTCCACTGGACGTTGGCGCGAACCCAGTTTCCCATCCCGTCCACGTAGGTTTCAATGTCCAGATCAACCTGGCCCCCCCAGCGGGGGATGGTCTCGTACACTTCCCTAAACTGCCGTACGGTCGCGGCGTGGTAGTCGGCGGCCCAGTTCATCGCGCCCTGGACATCCAAGTGGAGCTGGTCCATGGCAATCGCAACGATGTTGTGCTTGTCGTCTCCACATGCCTGTTCCTTGTTGTAGGACGCCATGTCCTTAAGAGTTGCGGGTCAATAAAACATCGAGATTAAGAACAAGTAATCATGGATAGCCCTCCTCGTTCTGGAGACAGTGCTTACATTATCAATAAGTATCAGGTCGGTACACAACAGTGACAGCTTCTCTATGGTTGGGTGCTGCAAAACCTCACGGGGGAGTTCCATTCCAAACTCAAAAATCATCAAGGATGGCTTGAGGCCGACGGTGACCCGGCGAAGGGCGAAGTAGCTATTTATATCCCGCAGACGGGGCTTGTCGCGGTCCTCTGCTTGCGCGGCGAGCCCTGCAGCCAGCCATCGAAGGCCTCGATAAATCGTTCCTGTGATGACAGAGTCACTGACTTTCTGGCGAGGATCCAAAACCTGTTCGAGAGACGAAGTTCAGCTCGCTTGAATTCGTAAACCAAATTATACGTTCGGCCGGGACAGCAAGACTTACTGTCGTGCGATCTCCCCACCTACCCATTCATCATGCGCCCTGGGCTTATCCGCATTGCGGAGAGCATCCACCACGGCGTTGCTCATCTCCCGCACCTCGGATGCAGTCGCCACGTCGGTGAGGTCGTCGAGGACGAAAAAGATGTTCATGAGGTCGCAGCTCGTGCGGAAGCGCTCTATAATTTTTCGCAGGCGTCAGCATTTACTCGCACCAAGGTAATGGGGACTCGGAGTCTCGGATCCAGACTCAGCCGACCTTTATCGAGATCCGGATAGGCCAGCCCTGCAAGCAGACCTGGAGGCAAAGCAGCACGGTCAGGCCCAGAATGCTTCTCAGCTGCCTTCTCGGGCAGGTAGCCGATCTCACCGAACTTATTCGTCGCAAAAAATGCGCTGCGCCTTCTGCCCCAGGGTCCCGAAGTTTGCAAACCATGCTGCGGACTGCTCGCTTACTTCATCATAAAAAAGGGTTCTGACGCCGCGATTGCCATGGCCAAAGTGCCAAGGTATCTGGCAGGGCTATTTGCTGATGCATGGTGGGAAAGGTTACAGGGGCAACTCGCGCGGCACACGTTGGGGCGGAAATATGAAGTGCTCACTAACGTTATATATGTATACGGCTCGTTATAATGGACAGGTCACTGGCACCCGTCACATGATTTGATGCTGCTCGTCATCTGGGGCAAGAGCATACAAGTTCCTTGGCCATCAAGATAATTTCCGACAAAGCCCCGGTCTGCTACGCTAGCTCATCAAATCTTGAGACAAGATAGCCCGCCCGCCCGCACTTTAAGGGAATTCGCTTTGACTCACCTACTAAAGTGGTGTCTCACAAACCCATGACTCCGGGAGTCCCAGCCACGCTGTTTCTTTTCGTATTTTCAGCTTTCACGACGTGGTGCTTTCGTATTTCGTATACATCCTCAACCCAGCCCTGTCCGCCCTTGTAGCTACGACTCCTGGGAATCCGAGACAATGTTGTGCAAAATTCTAGCAGCAGCTCTCACGAAGAGAGCATGCAAGTGGGCATTGATTGTTTTAATAATAGGTGTGTTTTTGTTGTATTCCGTCGTGTCTGTCCCTCTTGCAATGCCCTCTTCTAGGCTCCCTATTTATATCCCTTGGTTCCCTATTGATATCCCCTTTTCAGTTGTATAGGTACAATATCTAGGAGGCTGGGCTCCTTTCCCCAGCCCCCCCCTTTGCATACTGACTTTCCCTAGTCGCCGAGGGCTCTTTCAGCTTCCCCCGTATATGCAGTCTCTCTACAGCCTATGTGGCTGCCTAATGCGGTCTCCTAATAGCCTTCTGCAGCCTCAGAACTCTCTGCAGGCTGCCTCTCTGTCTAGCCTGTCGGGGCCCTTAGCTGTATACCCCTTATGGTCACCCCGAGCTCAAGATCTCAGACGTGCTTCGCGACAGCAGCGGGGAGCCGGGCAAGGCCACGTTTTCGCACCAGTTGGTAGCGACTTGTACAATACGAAGACAAAACGAACACAGAACGTACTCGGGGGGTTGACTAAGGGACTTAGGCCCCCCCTCTCCTCAACCCCCCGAGTAGAGCCCATCTGTAAGTTACTTCACTGCTTCGTTGCATAGCGCCATATAATTTCATGGACCATGTTTGGCCCCTATGGCGGCCCTTGTGATGCAATTTTTGTTGGCATCCAAGCCTATCAAGTATCAACCAGGTCGCCAGACTGCGGCCTCCCTGTCAAACGACATTCCGCCCCAGTCGAGGAGGTGTCTCGACCCACATGGGCACCGTTCTTGTGTATATAACTGGGACCTTCGTCCCCTTGACTTGGGCAGTGGTCAAGGCCAATAGACTCTCTATAACCGTCATATGCATGGCATCTCTCATTTCCTCTTGACACTCCCGACGCTACTATGGTACGAATAGCAGAGTTTCACGGTTGTGTGGATGCATGCATTATTGGAGTCGAGGATGAGTCGGTGGTGTTGATGCTGCTATTCGAAGGAAAACGGTAGTTGGGTCCAACCTTAAAAAGGAACGTGTCACTCAACGGTGGCGGGAAACATTACCGGACCTAATTTGTATGGAAAAAGGGTTCTAGAGCCAGCCCCGGTTCCTACAAAAAGTCCGAGCTACCTCCCCTTCGTCGATGGATGGGGCAAACTGCCTATGAGGAGCCCGACACCGGACAGTAACGACAAGAATTGGACTGTTATTGTTGTATGTCAAGTAACCATACATTTCTAATATGAATGTCCTCATATATATTGTATTGTCACAACGTCGGAGCCAGCCAACAGATAGTATCGGTACAAATATGGGGCGGCTATGGCACAACGAACCCGGGGGTGTAGATCGGAGGGGCCCATGATTCCATCATTGATCTTTATTTTTCCCGTTTCAATCCCAAGAGACGAATCATTAATATACTGGTGTCCTTTTATCATCTTTCGAGCTACTTCCAAGCTGTCCCAGAGGTCGTCTTCCATCCAACACGAATCGGCTTCCTTGGCGCTTGGAGGCTCCTTTAGCCGTCATCAGCGATATGGATTCGTCCATCAGGAAACTGGATAGAGTTTCACTTTGATGTCCGGCTTAACCCATAGTACATAGTACTTGCTGTCTTGTAGGAGGTCACCTGGGTCATTGACCACCTCGACGTCGAAGGAGAAGAGGAGTTTAGCCAAGGTAATCCGCATCTCCAAGTACGCCATAGCTTTACCCAAGCACTGGTAAGCTCCTCCACTGAAAGCAAGCATCGGTGGCGGCCCATTTTGCCTTGGAGCGATGGCTCTTCCAACCAACGCTCGGGCCGAAACTGCTGGGGTGACGGATATGTTGCCGGGTTTCGTGATGCACTGAAGAGGTGCGTTCCGACTACGACGCCTTGAGGGATGTATTCGCCCTCAATGACTGCTCCCGGGGAAATTCTTGGTAGACCCATTGCCACTGGGGGATACATGCGAAGGGTCTCTTCGATTATCGCTTGGAGGAGGCACAGCGATGACGTGCTTGTCCCAGTGATGTCGTCATATGAGCTGAATGAACTCCGTATCTCCTCTTTCAGTTTCGCGCGGTATCCAGGGTTTGCATGGAGATAGTAAAGGACAGCAGTCATTATCGTCGCTGTTGTCTCCCTCCAGCCACCGTCAGAAATCTCCTTCTGCTACGAGGTAGCCCTGCGAGAATTCTCCACTGCGGAGGATGTTTGCAAAGAAGTCTTCCTGCTGTGTGAGTTACCTGTCTCCATCCGCTGGAGCACTTTTGCTTGGTGAGCGCCGTGTGCTGCGCGAACATCTTCCCGGCATTCCTCGGGAGCATGAAAGGGAGCAACAGCGAGACAACAGGGGACCTGGCTCGCAACCCGTCGACCAGGAATACGAAAAGCCATTTGGGATCAAGGAGCAAGGAAACCCAGAAGCTCGACTTCCAATCTTGGACCGCATTGAATGAGTCGCCAAATGCCAGCTCTCCTGAAGGGAAGTAATAAGCACTCTATACTTGAGCGATTCAAACGTGGAGTGGAGGCAGCAGCGTACCAATAATGTCGAAAGTCAGCCAAGTGAAAGCCTCGCCCATCAAAATCCCACCGTCATCCTTCTCACTGCGCCCGCGAAGCTGGTCGATGAATAGGTCCACAAGGCTATGGATCACGTTCTCCTGAGATCTGAGAGCTGAGGTACTGAATCCGGGAGCCAGCCTCTTACGAGCGATGGCGTGTTGTTCTTTATCCCGTATATGCCCCACTGGAGATGCTTTGCCAAAGTGCTCGTAAAAGCTGCTCTTTACGAATAGGCTTGAATTGATGGTTCGAAAAGCGCCGGCGGAGTCAAAAGACAGTTCGTTTGGAGAAATGCGGACAATAGGGCCTATTGATGAATGCTTTAGCTTTGACGAACGGATCAATGGTCGACCATACGTGCAGCCGAAAAGTTAGTCAGACATACCGTATTTCCGATGCAGATCTTGAATTACAAGAGCTGACCGGCCACTGAATAGTGTCCAAATGATCCAAAGCTGTTTTGCACTGTTAATATGCTAGCAGTCCCAAGTGCTGGATATTTCGGTGGCGTTTCACCTCTGAGATAGCAGCCAGCCTCGGGCCTGGAAACTTGGCGGCCGGGTGATAGAACAAGGCATATATACACCAGCCTGTCCAGTACACAAAACCCTGGCCATCAGTTAGATTGCTCGGAATCGCGGCCTGGATTGCGTGCATACCAGCATTAGGGCTGCCGGGAGCGCGATACTCAGTGAAACCATCGTCGGTAATGCGGGAAGAGGTGGGCAAATGTGTGACAAGTGCGAAGGGAATTCAGGTATGGCCGGTCTACAAATACCGGAGACGTGGCCAGTCTGCGCGGCTGCGCCAAAGGAGCCTTGAGGTTCGAGGCAGGCAGGAATCAGCATTGGCTTGCAAGAGTGGTTTCCTTTTTTTGGAGAAGCTATACCTTACATGTCTCATTAGCTGAAATTTGTTGCGCCATGTCTCGGGAGTTCTTTCCATTTCCAGGGCGCTGCATGCACGCACTGCATCAGTCGGACGGCCCGCTGCGTGCCTCTTGCATACATAGCTGGAGGCAAGGCCACACTCATAGGTAATTGATAGATTTGTCAAGCCATATTCCGTCCGTCGCAGTCGAGGAGGCATTCCGACCCACTTGGGCACGGTTGTGCTTTTGTGACATATAACTGACCCTCGCCCGCCTGGCTTGGGCGGTGTTTAGAGAGGAGAGACTCTCTCTCTCTATGGCTCGCGCATGCATGGCATCTTTCCGTTTAATTTTGACAAGGATCAACGTTCCTTCACCTCCATCTTTTGGCAAGTGCCATCAACTTTCCCTTGTCACCTCAACAACAATATTAGGGAAAATCCGCCACGATGGACCCGGTAACCCAATCAACACTTGCCGTGAGCCGGTCCTCTCCTATAGAGGCCGTGCCCGAGGGACGAAGCCGACTGCTTGACATTCCGCACTATTACCTGGCCATTTTCATCTTGCCGACACTTTGGTTAACCATCCCACACACTCGGCGGCCCCGGCTATACCAGACACGATGGTTGGTGGCGGCAGCCGTGGCCGCCATCAATGTTCGCAACTTGTTCCAACCAGGCAGCACCGCCGTGGCTTACTCTATTTTTTCCGCCACAATGGGCACGTGGGGGACTATGATATGCATGAACTTCTTGATCTGGTCGCGGCCGCAGTTTGATGCGGCCAGGGTTCTAAAGTTGTCGAGACGAACGGAAAAGCGAAAGGGCTGGGCCAGCGATGCGGAGGACAGCGCCAATAGTTCCAGTAACGCGCACCAACCGAATGGCACTCAACAGAAGAGGCTACCCAAGCAGAATGGCGTGGCAATCCCCTGTCCACGTCTTGAAGGAAAGGGAGGAGATGAGTTCGATTACGTCTGGCAACGCTTCCCTGAGGATGGGCCGTTCCTGGAGAGGCTTGGCTGGGTCATAGATCTCATGTTGACCCCCCGAGGTTCAGGTAGGATCGCCCCTGATTGCAAGCACACTGCCAGTGAAGATTCGCGGGGGGTATTTGGTGGTCGTAGTTAACAGGCTCTAGGTTGGAACTGGTCCATCTCTTCTATTCCGCGGCCATATATCCCCAGCATGTCCAGGACGGGAAAGGGTCGCCATGGAGTCCATGCCGCGAATAACCAAGAGCGGTTTGCAGCGCTCTACCTCTGAGACTGAGTTTGTCTATACCAAGTTAAAGACCATCATCGGCTCCTACGTACTGCTAGATCTCACGTTTATCCTGACAGAAAAGGATCCGTACTTCGCTGTCGGTCCGGATCACTCTCAGCAGCTCCTACTATCCTTTCAGGGCTTGCGGCCGTGGCTCCTCTTCGGTTATCGGGAAATCGTATCGCTAATAATCTGCTTGAGCCATATCTCATACGGGTATAGCCTCATCGATCTGGCGGGGTATTGACGCTAACGACGCTATTTCCTCTCGAGGCGGATTATGGATGCACTCATCGACGTTTGGGTCCCTTTCCCAGATCCTCGATCGCGGCCTCTCCGGCTGGTGGGGCGCGTTCTGGCATCAGACATTCCGGGTCCCATTCCTCGCCCCGGCAACGTTTCTGATCAGAGAGGGCTACATCGAGGCGGGTACGCCGGCGGCGGAGGCGATGTCTCTGCTTGTGTCGTTTCTCCAGTCGGGCTTGCTCCACGCATCGGGCAGTCTTTCGTCCGTAGCCAACACCAAGCCGTGGCAACCTCTACAATTTTTCCTCCTCCAAGCAGTAGGCATCGTTATTCAGCGTGCCGCTGGCGAGCTGCTGCGGCCACGTCTCCCACCACTGCCAGAACGGCTGCGAAGGGGTGCCAACTTGGTGTTCACGGTGCTCTGGCTGCATCTGACGGTAATGCTATACTTCGATGATGTCGCATCCACGGGGTTGTGGGTGAAGCAGGCTGTTCCCGTCTCCTGTTTCGAGGATTTGGGGTGCGGTCTCCTAAGGATCATTGGTGGCGGGAGGATGGCCATAACCCTGCCTGGTGGCAGACCATACCTGCTGCGGTAGTAGCGGTCTTTTAGCGTCGGCTCTTTCCTACGTGTTCATCTCGCCAGGAAAGCATCCGGGCCTGCACTGTAAGGCGCACACAACTAAACAGAGAGTGAAGAACGAGGGTCAATCACTTAATTCATTGATCTCTGAAGATCTGTGAAAGGCTGGCCCGGAGTTTATTCAACAAGCAGGTGCCTAGGTGTTGTCTATCTAGAGCTAAGGAGGAAAAGAAGCTGAACTCGAGGCGTAGCCTCGAGTGCGAGCTTATATTGCCCTTCTCGGAATGTTCTCGCAGCTTCTGGGTCCGCGGAGCGGGGCCGGTGTTGCCACCGGAGCACGACCCACCGGACCCGGTACAACCGGGTCCACCAGCCGGGCACAGCCCGTGACAAGATCCCATAAAATCCCGAGAATAGGCACCCTTCTTATATGATAGCATCCTCCGTTTCCTGACGGCCTACTCCGAGACATCTCGGAGGTATTCCTTCTCCTAGCGCGTGACATGCACTCACCGCCAGAGACACTGAAACACGACGCCCCGAGAGTTGAGAATATATCCAGCGCGATGTGCCTAAAGCAGCAGAAGGATGCCGCTTTTCTGCATATCTGCTAGGAGAATACAGACACCATTCTCGTACTAGAGTCGTACCAGAGATACGAGAGACCATCGGTTGAGTCTCGAGGCAGAGCCTGTTGGAGTCTGGGTGATGAAAGCAAGTCGCATTTTACGGGAAGGAGCTCGTTAGAATGCGTTGCCTCGATGGGGAATATCTATAACCTTCGCTGAGCCCAATATACCACTTCCTTCACCTTCTATGGGATAGCTCTGTCGCTTAAAATGGCGAGTTAGTTGGTCTCACAGCGTGAGCGGATATCAGGGAACTCGACGTTATTGTCATGCCAACCTCTTTCGATGTACGACATGGATCTCCGAAAGGGAAAGCATAATGAAGTGAAATCAAACCAAGATGGGAAATCTACCTAAGACGGAAGTCGATGTCAGATGGCGACCAATGGAAGCCGAACCTATCAGCAGTATGCGCTACGATCGAATTCGCGATAACAACCGGAAGACTAGATACGGATAAATGACAATACTGGCAAACCAGAGTGCATAATATTAACATCATATATAGCCTCTCATCGAGAGACCGGGCTTTAGCTGCTGAGAATAGGATGCTGAACACTTGGAGAAATTGGCCTTTAGCAGGCCTGTCAACGGCGAAAATGGAGGTCGAAGAGTAGGCAAGAGTAAAACGTTTGTGGGGCTTGCTGAGTGTTGAAGTCGAAAGTGGAGGATGCAAATCTCACGAAGAGAGGATGCAAGTGGGCATTGATTGTGTAACGATCGGTGTGATCTGTTCTCTTGCAATGCCCTCTTCTAGGCTCCCTATTTATATCCCCTTTTCAGTTGTATAGGCACAATATCTAGGGGGCTGGGCTCCTTTCCCCAGCCCCCCCTTTGCATACTGACTTTCCCTAGTCGCCGAGGGTTCTTTCAGCTTCCCCCGTATATGCAGTCTCTCTACAGCCTATGTGGCTGCCTAATGCGGTCTCCTAATAGCTTTCTGCAGCCTCAGAACTCTCTGCAGGCTGCCTTTCTGTCTAGCCTGTCGGGGCCCTTAGCTATATACCCCTTATGGTCACCCTGAGCTCAAGATCTCAGACGTGCTTCGTGACAGCAAATAGCCTAGTGTGGCGGCCCTCATTGGGTCAATCTCTCCGGCGAAATAAATTGCATTGCATTGCATCAGTCGTAGGGTAGAAGCCAGAAGTCGTCCCCCCGTATTCGTAGTCTAGTAATGCGGCACTACAAGGGGGGTCTCAAAAATGACCACGATTCTCGCCCTTGTTCCACAGTGAAGTGGGGCTTTATCCCATTTACTAATACGAGGTCCCTGAGACACGAGATGCCTTATCGTTACTTTCAGCCGCCCTCATTTTGGGATTGCTTTGGCTCACCCACTTTTTTAAGTGGGTGAGCCAAAGCGAATCCCCTTAAAGTGGGGGCGGGCACGAGTAGCAGCCTAGAGCCCCAAGCATGAGAGGAAAGGATATTCTTGTAAAAAGAGTAGGGGGTAGTTATCCATCCACCACTTTCTACTATCCATCCACCGAATTTGCGTAGGGGAAGTACCGAGTACCTACCCAAGGGTTACCAAATTGAGCCCTCTAAGTCCGGCACAACAGCCTGCTGTGCCGGATTGGCAATTGCTTATAAGCGCGCAGGCCGAAGCAGAGAAAATGCCCTCTAAATTTACTGAGCAGCTCGGGGTTTTGCCCCGAGCGAACGTGGAGTGATGCCTCGTAGGTATAGAGTACTTAGAGTAGATCGCGCGGATATAGCCAATTAGAGCGGCCAGGACTCTCATCGCCCCCACCTTGGTGGATGGATAGTAGAAAGTGGTGGATGGATAACTGCTCCCAAAGAGTATAGTGTCACACACGGGATATCATTAGCCCTATTAAGATTGTCGCCCCTGACTACTGCATAATGGCCCAAAAGGCGGCACCTTTCTAGCTAGATCATGCATCTTTATCCCTTCTTGTGCAGCCCCTATCCCTCGTGAGTACCAGCGTAGCAGTTTAATCAACACACGTTAGTGCGGGTGATACCACATGACACTCCCCCCCGAGCAAACGGTTCTCCCCTTCTGCCTGGGGTAATTCTTCAGACTTGCAAGCGGTATCCAACAACACACAACTTCCGCTGCTTCCATGTTTACCGTACACACAGCCAAGGCACTCCCAGGGCAACAATCACCACAACCCAGGCAACATGCCCGCTCAGGTACGCCCACGACGCAGGCGCAGGCCAACTCAAAGGACTTCATGAAGTCTACATGGCGTCGCCAGAACCGCTCAGAGTGGACAATCTACCACTGGCTCTTCGAAATTGTAGGCGTGCATCCTACCTACCTCGACAATGAAATCCCGGTGCACCAGAAGGAGGAAAAGGTTCCCATATGCACGAGTGGTCTCTGCACCGTTGGATCATCTTGCACGCCTTTGTTCCCATCATCCTCCAGCACCTGTACGTCACCTGGACAGGCCGCAACTTCACCGCGTGGCAAGCGGCCTTCTTCTATAGCGCTGCCCTCCAGATCATCAGCATCCACGAGTTCTACATTCTACGTCGCATCAGCCATCAGACCGGTTTCCTCGATGGCGACGTCCATGAGCGTGACGGAGTGCCCGATGTCGGGGTCCGCAAGGTCTTCTACTCGCTCGTCTTGGGCTCCACGTTCAGAGTCATCTGTACCGTCTTCCTTAGCTACTACGTCAGCCAAGTACCCGCGGATATGGGCTGGCTCTGGCTGCCACTTGAGGCCGGCCTCTACGGCATCGTTCTCGACTTCTGGTTCTACTCGTACCACCGCTTGATGCACGAGGTCGCCAGCCTCTGGAAGTACCACCGCACCCACCACCTTACCAAGCACCCCAACCCGCTGTTAACGTTATACGCCGATACTGAGCAAGAGTTTTTCGATACTCTCGGCATCCCACTCCTCGGTTACTTTTCACTTAAGGCGATGGGTCTACCTATGGGCTACTACGAGTGGTGGGTCTGCCATCAGTACCTCGTCTTCGCCGAGTTGGTCGGGCATAGCGGCCTCCGTCTTTATCTCCCCATCCCGAACACACTTAACCCGTTGTTGTGCTGGTTCAACTGCGAGCTGATTATCGAGGATCACGACCTGCACCACCGCAAAGGTTGGAAGAGCAGCGGCAACTACGGCAAGCAAACTCGTCTATGGGACCGCATCTTCGGTACTTGCAAGGACCGCATTGAGTGCCGGGATGATAACATCGACTGGGAGAATACGATTACGATGCCGTTGTTATAAAAGGCTTTGGCGTTATGCTCTAAGGCAAGTCAGGAAACTAAAGAGACGAAATGTTCTTGCTTCCGCTACCCCCTGTGACGGACTTGACCCCCACATTGAGCACCGTCGCACCCCGTTTGCAGACATGACCCACATGTTTGTTCAGCCACGGCTCACACCTACGGAAGACATATTTAGGGAGAGGACACCCAGCTGTATTGTTCTGTTCTCCTTTTTCTTCTTCAGAGCAGAATCTTCGTAATAGAGTCCACAGGCTTTTGGCTCAGTCCGTGACCGTCACGGGAGGGCTTGCTGAGCGCCGATCCTCGAGAGGACGATAATATTGAAGGCGGTAGAGTGCGCATGCCGATGCTCATCGGTGCCAGCGCGCTTCGAAAAGAAACAGCTTTAGAAACAAATACATATATATGCAAGTATATCATCATTTCCTTGCGGCTCCGATGTATTGTCTACCTATTGCTCAATAACAATTGTAAGAACGATATGTCCGGATCTGTCGTGGTCCTTGTCTCTCGCATCTCCTCCACGGCTCTTTTTTAGGCGGTCCGCTTTCAGCCGTCCATAAACTCGCTCTAGTCTGTGGAAGGAGCCCCTTGCCATACGGACCATGCTGATACGGCGGTTTGTGGATCGGAGGAGGATGTTGAAGACCAGGAAACAAAAGACCGGATGCGTAGCAAATCGACCCCCGTGTCCAGGGTTGTTTCTGATACGCGATCCACGATATCGCAAGTTTTCAAAGCTATCGGATAATATCGTATCGCGAGGATCGATATCACGTATCGCATAACTTATGCGATAAAAGCTTGCAAAGATGCCATGATACGTTAAGTCCGCTTTCCATATTTGAGACACCTGCAAAGCTGCAGCCGAGAGCGAGCGAGTCCCCGAAGGATATCGTCGTAACGAAAAGAGATAAAATCGTAAGTGACTGGTCTGAGAGAGACACCAGGGTCGTTAAACAGTTAGGAGTTATGTCGAGAAGAAGGTCCGAACGAGTTGAGGTCTCTAGGTCTCTCTAGGTAATACAGCTTGAAACCAGGTAAGAAGGGAAGTCTGCAGACTGTTCTTTCTTCTTCCTGGACCACTGAGGGGTCCGGAGGATCTCCTATTCGAACGGGGACCCTTTGAGGAGTCCGGCATAGCTATTACTGGCTCGGGGACCTCGAGAGACTGAACTATCGATCTCATAGCTAGCAGAGCTATTCGATCGGGGAGATGGAGCTGATGTTGCCGACGTAGATGACTTACGTGGCCTTCAGTAAGTGGTAAGAAGTGCCCTCTTCCTGATAGAATGTATACTATACCTGAAAACGGGATATCAACTTGGGAGAAGCTCGGAGGGATATAAAAGGGGCTGTATGGACGGGAAAGGAGGCAACCGGGGAGAGAGGGATTAACACAACATCTGATCGTATGATACTCGACCTTCAAAAAGTCCCTTTATCCACGTTTATGCCCACTTTTGCTCTCTCCTTCGCGAGAAGTTAATGTATTTTCGCTCGAGACTGAAAACTGAAGTGTCCGTAGGCGCTGGATCGGCGGCTGACAGGCCGTAGGGGTCTGAAACCAGCCAATCCGCCAATTATTCAGTCCGAAGGACTTCTAAAATACTGCGTCACACCTTGCACTTCAGGGATGTGGTGCAAGGCGTACAATCAGCCGAAGGCTGCGAGTCTGGCCAACAGTCAACCAGTCACCGAACAATCAGTACAGTATCTACAATCATACACTTCATTTGTGCCTTGGAAAGCGTCGTTCTTGTTGCGGGTAGCATCAAGTAGAGTTACGTAGACCCGTGGCCTATCTTGTATGGATTCTGGGTGAGAACCTGTCGTTTGCGAAGTTGCTGATCCCTCATTTTCATCTTAATTCCTTCTTCCAGCGGCGACGCATAAGTCAGGTGATTGCGGTCAAACGGGGCATCCAGCATCAGACCCTGCAGCGTTTTCACACGCGAGATGGCGACGTAGCTCAAACCGGTCTAAAAGTCACGGCAGGACAGATCCGTCACGATCATGTCTTCGGTGATGCTCTGCGACTTGTGAACTGTAATGGCGTAGCATAAATGGCGTAGCATACGATCAGGGCAAACTGCGTACGAGTGCAGAGTGTTGGCCCAAGAGGAAGTCCTCTCCACTAGTAGAATCGGCACAACCTTCCTGCCATCGGCGGTGGTCGGGAATACCGGCCCCATGTACTTATCAAACTCCATCATGATCACGCAGGAAGGGTCTTGCATGGGGTCAGCTCCAGGCGCCCAGGCGATATCGTACACTGTACCACGTGCGCCGTTGCAGAGGCCAACTGGCTGCCAAAGGTTGGACGTCAGCATCAGACGGGCGCCAACGCATACGGGACTCTGCTTCGCAAGGTTGCCTGCCTTGTCGTCAGGAGCAGCAGCAGCACCGGCACCAACGCTCATAGCCATGACCTGGATGACAGGCCGGCCTAGGCGGTCGAGGTGGTAGTTGTTATACTCGTTAACCCTGTCTTTCGTGGCGTATACTCGTAGGGGATTGACGAACATGGCCGCCTCCTGATTGTCCAGCTTCGTCTGCACGCGGCTGGAGAGGAGCTTCCAGGACTCCTGGAATAGACGGTGCAGTCGCAATTGATCGAGGGCCGTGCGAAATGTGCCCCTTCTGTTCTTTGCCGCGCTGACGCTGGGCAACCGTCAAGAAAACCGTCTTGTCGAAGCGTCGATGTGCATTCCTGCCCTTGATCTCTACTCCTTGCACCTCCTTGTCGTAATAAAGACGCTTCTGCAGCACAGGGGAACTGAAAGAAGTCGCCAAGCAGGAGGATATTTAGACCACTAATGAACTCTCGTGATCCATGCCTGTGCAAAGAGAGCGTGGGCTTGGTTGTGAGAGAATTTTTCCATGGCTAAGAGCCGCGCAGCAAATAAAGGAGCAGCTGAGAAAGGAGCAGCTGAGAAATTAGTGGCTTCCCGATACCCACTTATCTACTGACACCGGCCAATCCAGCCTACTTTAGAGCCCTGCCATACAAATTATCGGCCAATCAGATCTGGAAAAACTTATAATCCCTGTCTGGACCAAACCCTCATACGAGAGGAAGGCTCGCCAGCCGCGGCTCGCGCAAAGAAGCCTTTCGGAACGAAATTTGGCGACAAGAGAACCGGAGAAGAGTTGGCTACAGAAGAGAGAGAGAGAGTTGGCGACAGTAGATAGGAGACAGGAAGAAGAGTGAGGTCGAGATACGAGACACGGCGAGAGACGTAGAGCATTATCGTGAGTGAAACCGAGACAGAGCGTCGGGAAGGCAGGCTAGGCCGCTGGAGGAAAATTTGGTTTAAAAAGGCGCAAACTCAAAGGGCGTGGAGAGACGGCAGGGTTGAAGAGAGATGTGAGTGGGTAATGCATGTCTGGGCGAGTGGAAGGCTCGGAAAATTTACATGTGCTACCGGTATAAGTCGTAGGTATAAACAGAATAAGGAGTATATCTTAGAAGTTTTGACTTGATCGTCTTCATGAAAAGGAGAACAAGAAGAGAAGAGAATGTGCTATTCGAGCCTTTGGCAGTTGATTTTGAGGATGATGAGACATGTTGTCATGTTGTATTGTTTCGTTTGATGCTTTAAAGTTCAGAGAATATTCTTGGGCGGACGTCGGGCGCGCAGTGGTCGGGAAGATATCGACGCGGGAGGTCTGATAGAGCCAGAGGCGGATGTGTCTTGGTGATTGACCTGTTCGGTGTCCGTCTCTGACTCTGCGGGTCTTCCGGGGACAGAAAGGAGGAGGTATCGGATTTGGGGGAGTCTTGACCGTCACAGTCGGTGATTATGGTGGAAGTTTCGGGAGAAAGTCGCGGTCTCTTGGTTGGGGTTTGGTAGGGATCGGGCAATGACCGACTTGATGCCAGCATAAGGATCGACTGGGCCAGAAGCATGCGGCGTGGGGGAGGCGGGGCTTTGGGCGGCCTTGGGTTTCTTCGTAGAGGTAAACCTGGCCAACGCAACGCTATAGTCCGAGGGATTGCCGACCGCGCTCTTGGGTGTCGTCGGCAGTAGTTGTGTTGCAGAAGCCTGGTCGGACATGGCCTTGTCGTGGAAAGTCCACGTGTCGGGGACGACGATGAAGATATGGTCTTGGTCGAAAGCCGGGGCATGTTTCATGATCTGGTGATCCAGTAAGCCGGCGATTTTGCCCGTACAGGTGAAGAGAGCGTTCGACTGGAACTGGCTGTCGCGCCTCTCGGTCATCTTCTTGCATAGGAGGTCCAAGGATTAGCGTGAATGGGGAAGATGACGAAAACTTGGAAGGGTGAAAGCCCTTGAAGGGGTTTTGCCGGGAATCCCAGGACAAATAAAGGTGGAGAGCTGGACAAAGCCGCAGCAGCTCAGCTGGGTGTCGTCAAGGGCCGCAGCCGAGTTTCCATGCAGGAGGTCGCGGCCGGAGCCGATGACAGGTCCCGTGAAGGAGACAATGGGTTGTATCGTTGGGAAAGTATCCACCGAGCTGAGGGTGCGAGTGACAATTCTATGGATATCGTCAGGGAGGGCAGTGGCGACAGAGAGATTTGGAGCATAGACTCACGGTTGGTAGCTGTGATCGCGGACTATAAGCGCGGGGACGGTGTATTCTGTGATGTTATCATCGTCCGACTCAAGCCATCACGTCGCTCGATTTCCCACGTCAGGGCAAAGGATGAACACGGCCGACCATGAAGAACCATTGCTCGGTCCATTCCGAGGAGATTATCTGTTGGTTGTATATGGAAATATTAAGGCTGAAGAAGATGCAGGTCGATGGATTGCCAGTATCTGACCGGATTGCTGCATACCCGGAGTCGACAGCCATGAGGGCGTGGGAAGGAAGACCTCGCTAGGGTTTCTGCGTTGAGCCCTTTGACACGATGCTCATTCTGGTAGGCGAACCTAGACGGGCAGCCGGGCTGGACAAAGGCCATCATGGACATGTCGGCGCCAGCATTTTTCTGGCTGTCAAGAGGTTGCCGCGGGGAGGACGAGGTATCGACGTTGAGCTGGGAGGCCGACATCGTGAGAACATGGCAGATGTAGTCACCGTGGAAGTGTAAATGAGGGGTTACGCAGAGTGGAGGTGGGCATCCTATAAAGCAGGTTTTCTTGCTGCTCGAAAGAGGGCTCGCGGCTAGGGTCGGGGAGACTTAAGAGTCAGAGAATGCTACCTAGGTGATAGATTAGAAGCGGGGGTATGCGGGAATGAGCTGGCGAGGTTCTTGAACAGTCTCGACCATCTGGTTCTATGGTCGTGAGTGAAGTAGGGAGCCGGGGGTTGGAAGTTGAGTAGGGGTGATGGCTATGTCGCGAGAAGTTGGAGGTCGGCGAACGGTAAGGTTAGTGTGGGTAAGTCTGCGGAGAAAGAAAGTCCAGCAGTACCCTTCGGTGTCATCGTTGCATGGAGTAGATAGCAAAGGCGACAATAACGAATGAGAGTGAAGGAAAGAAAGAGGTTATGGTAGTATTGCAGGGGTCCCTTTGACGGTCGTCGGTAGTTGGATGGGCATTGCGTGCGGCTGAGCGAGGCGGGTGCCGACCGTGTCGAGTCCACTATTGGGACACGGTGAAGTCGGATATAGGGGACGAGCTGAGGAGGAGGATGCGAGTTGGTCACGAGAACTCTCAAGAGGGTTTGCAAGTCGAGACTCCGGTGGCTAGCGACTACAAGAGGACAGGCAGGGGGATCCTGGCTGTCGCTTTAGCATGAAGGCCGTTGATGCGACGTTGGTGGTGGCGAGGGAGCAAACCTAGCCGGGTAGTCCGGTTGCACGAGGGACACCGTGGACATGTTATCGCCGGCAGCCTTTTGGCTGTTGCTCGACGAGGTGGAGTGGCAGATATTGATGGAGCAACTGATGCGCAAGGTGGGTGGGACGGCGTTGGAAGGGCCGGAGAGTATGGTTGGAAGTGTGCGGCGGGCGGTTGGCGCGGCCACCCCATGTGCCGGAGGTCGGCAGTAGCCAGGATTCGCTGGAGTGCGCAAAGAGAGCACGGCGATGGAAGGGTCGCTTTTGGCAAAGCCGGGGTAGCAGGTCGCACGTGGAGACCAGGCGAGGCCGGGACGGTGGACGCACATAGATAGGCATGGTAAATGGGGGATTACAAAGGGGTAGTAGTATTGCATCGCTTCGGTACCATAGGCAAGCATTATAAGGGAAGAAACGCCACGGCCATGAGAGTAGTGATCGTTAGGAAGCTTCCCACTCGGGAGAAATAGTGTACGCCAAGAAGCGAGATTATCCAAGTGGAAGTGCTCCGGAGCCAAAACTTTCTAGCCTGTTGCCAATCCACGCTAGTCGACGTCGAGGAGGCAGTAGCATGGCGGACAGTCCTGCAGGGAAGCTAGGCGAGGCGGCCGCTCACCGTGGAGCCTGTTCGTTGTCAGTCGAGGATGGAGAAGAGGGTAGGAACGGGGGAGTGCCTGTTTCGGGGTGCGGAGATGATACAGGGGCAACTCCCGAGAAGGGGCACGGAGCACGGGAGACAAGGTTGGGGCGGTTCGGGAGATACAGATCAGTGGCGAATGAAGCATTAACGTTCCGGCTGATTCAGCCTAAGCAGTCTGCGGTCGAAGAAACCGCATGGAGAAAGCATGCAGAGGCGATCGCAAAGTCACTGCCGAGAAGACCGCCGCGAGGCGGTTTGCGGTCAAGCAGAGCACGGAAGTCCTGTAATTTGGTCAGCAGCGGAAATTCCGCGCAACGTCAGTCACCGAGTCCGCTTCCGAGGTTCGTGTTGCCTACAGAACGTGGAGACCAGGGGCAGTGGGCTCTAACAGTCCACCCTTCATCGGCCGTTTTGCCCCAGGAGAGGGGTCCTGAAGGTGACGGGCAGGGAGATAAGGCGGCGACCGGCGGTGTCCCGGGTGTTCGTTCGAAAGGGACCGACGCTCCGACCTATCCAGCCCAAGGATACGACTTTCCAAGACCTAAGACGAACGGCGCAATTTGCAGCATCGATTGCATGGGGTTTGCCCAAGCCCGTCGGGGACCGGTTCGGCGGCCAAGGGCACAGGTGGGTGTGGACGATGGCGCAGCAGAGGCAGCGGACGGCTGCTGCGCGGACAGAGGCAGTCCCGGAGGCGGAGAAGAGAGCCCGTCTTCCTAGCCGGGATGGGCGCCCGATAAAACAGGTCCGAAGTGGAATCGGAAGGCATAGGGGACGGAGCTGCAGGCCGAAGACCTGGCGAGTGTGCTGCGCTTTTGGAGGAAGACTTTGCCTTGAAGGAGAGATTGTCTAACGATCAGACGTGGTGCACGCCAATACCGCTCGAGAGGAAGGTGTCGACGGTGCGAGACTTCTATCAGGCGTTCCACGATGCGAGCACGTTGCCGATACGGACCTGCATGGCAGCTACCGCAAGTGTACGAGAGGAGAGTTGAGGGAGATTACATGGGATCATTGGCTGTCAAGTTGCGTACCAAAGGGCGGCCGCTCACCATTTTCATGCCGGAGTTGCTTTCCTGAGGGCGAGTCCGTGTCGGTGTGCGCCGAGTGTGGCCGATGCCTGGCGCGCAGGAGCCTGTCGCCGGCGATCCACCTTCACAGTCGCCTTGGCTGCGAGCACATGTTCCCGATGAGCTCAAGGGACTGACGCCGGTCGAAGAGAAGCTCATCTCGCTGAACTCATGTTACGGGTTTGTCACGAGATATAGCATTCCGGGCGGGCAGAGGCAGAGCGTGAAGTATCCGAGGCATGTCAGGGCCACATCACGGTGTTTCCGAACAATGTGCAGGAGCTGGCCACCAAAGTGCTCCCGCACCCCTTTGCAAGCACTGGACGAGATCCACATCTCGTGGCAGGGCGCGGAGAAGCCGGCACCGAGCGACCTGTCGAGTCTCTTGTCGGTGAGGCGGCGGGTGGTCGAGAGGGCCCTTGTCTGGCTGAAGCGGAACAACCCCCACTACGCCGAGATCGAGATCGACGCGGCGGAGATGGAGAGCTGGGGAGACTCGATACACGGGTACCGTCGTCGGTGTGCGATCGTATGGAGCGGAACGAGCCGTCTGGGTGGGAGAAAGCGCGGACGGCGCACGTTGTGCCGCCCACGGAACGCGCCATGGACGAGGAGGGGCCGGTGGAGATCGAGGAGCTCTTCGCCCTGCTCAACCAAGGACAAGAAGCCGGCGGCCAGGGTGAAGGTCACGGGCCCAACGGAGAAGGCGCGGTTCGCGATGGAAGTGACGCCTGCCCCGACCAGAACGTTCCAGCGATCAACGAGGTGACGTCTTCTGGCATGTTCGCGCTCGACGGACCGCCAGACGTCGCGGACGTGGAGAAGCTGCAGTTTGCCTGTGACGCTGTTGGTGAAGGTGCCGACGACGGCCGTGCGGGCCCGAGCGTGGGTCGGGTCCCTAGCCGGGGTTCGGGGCGTGGCGACGGTGGTTGTGAGCCATACATCCGGGTTTCGCGGGGGTGAGTTTACCGATTCCTTTGAGGCGTCCTTCTTTGCCAGGACGTTCCCGACCCTGTTCCCATTTGGCGTTGGGGACCAAGGCTGGTTGAAGAGACCATGGTCGACGCGGGAAGGTCACGGCCAACTTGCGAGGCAGGGCTGTCGAGGCAGAGGCGGCCGCGGAGACCCCGTATCGTCTCGAAGCTTGAACCTTCAGGCGTGGGCCGAGATCGTGCTCCGGCGCCATGGTGGTCGATTTGCACTGCACCACATCTTCGCATTTCTCGTCTTCAACATGGGGTGCGGTCGAGGAACCGCCGGGTCAGCATGTTGAGTGTGGGAGGAAGAACTTCCGCAAGGTAGAGCGCATCGTGCGTCTGATGACCACAGAAAGGCTAGCGGCGGCGAGGGTCGAGTTGGAGAGCTCGGGTAAGACGACCGATGGTGACGTGAAGGAGCTTCTCAGGAGCCTCTCGCTTTACGGCCACCGGCAGCCCATGTCGAGAGAGGTCCGTCTCAATATGCGGCGGAAAATCCAGTCGCTCATCGTCGGATATGGCGTGCCGGCCATCTGGTTCACCATCAACCCGAACGACATTACGAACCCGGTGAAGCTGCGACTGGCGGCATACCGCACACGCGATCCCGACGCGGCCGAGGAGTTCTTAGAAGGCCTTGGGGATGCGTATAAGCGGGCACGGCTGGCGATATCGGATCCCATGAGCTCGGCCGTGTTCTTCCACCGCGAGATGAAGCTGTTCTTCGATCATTACGTGAAGGTCGGTGAAGAGTCGGTATTCGGGCGCATCGGCAAATACTATGGCGCCGTGGAGACGAACGAACGAGGGGCGCTTCATGTTCACGGCTTGCTCTGGCTGCACGGGAACGCGCATCTCAGCTCGATGCTTGCCGACATCCACGGGGAGGATCAGGCGGCGTATCGCGAGCGAATCGTCCGATACATCGATAGCGTCTTCTCAGAGGTAAGAATGCCTACCTAAGATGTGCCACCGGGAGCCTGAAGTACTCTTCTGATGGCCAAGTGGGGCCGGGTTGACGTGCAAGGCAGGATCTGACCAGGAAAGTTTTGCGCCGTGCAAGCGGAGCGATCTGTGACGGGCGGTATTGGTTCCCTGCTGGACAACGCCGCGCAGTTCTCGGCCGCGTTTATCGAGGAGGCCAACTTCTGTGCCGGCGCGACGCAGGTGCACACGCATAGCCCGACCTGTGTGAAGTATTCCTTGGGCAAAGGAGGGCGGAAAGGGACCTCTGCCGGTTCAAGGCGCCATGGAGGTTAGTCGACAAGACCGCCCTCACGGCAGACGGGGTGCTGCAGATCCGGAGGACACACAGCATGGTCAATCGATGGAACGAGGCTATTGCTGTCGGGCCCGGCACAACCATGATATTTCCTTCATTGCGACGCAGCGCAAGACAATGGCCCTCATCTATTATGTCACGAACTACGCGACCAAGGTGGAGGACCCGGTGTGGAAGCGTGTGGCGGCCGCGGCCGAGCTCCTGGCCGCCTCAACAGGTGATGGCACGGCCAACGGAGGGCGGGACGGTGGCGGAGACGCTGCCACCGATGACCCTGTCAAGGGAACAGGACGCGACAGTTCCTGATGAGAGTGGCGAACCGCGTGTTCACGGAGCGTCCGCTATCACAGGTCGAGGTCGTCGCTCACCTTCTCGGATATCCGGCCGAGTTCACCGACAGCAGCGCGTGGGCGTACCTGAACTGTTCTCTGCTGTACTGGGAAGTCTTTCGGCGATGGCGGCATCTCCGAGAAGCCAGTGGCGCTGCGGCTACGGATGACACCTTGGATGAGTCGGTCGTCGTCGAAGAAGAAGGCCTGAGAATCTCCCACGTCGAGGCGTACCAGCACCGAACTGAAACGCATCGGCAACGACGAGAGCTGGGCGGCTTGGGGAGATGTCTTTCGAGGATGGATGGGCGCCGGGACGACGCTGGGTTCAGGTGCTCAGGCGGCCGGGCAAGCACGCTACCGTCTGCCTCGACGGCTACCTGAGCAAGGACTTCACCTACGATGACGAGTCGTGCTACCGGAGGTGTGTATGGCAACTGCTCTGTCAGCGGGCATTATCGGAGAGGCTAACCCACCCCCTGAAGGGCAGCCGTGCAGCATCTTGCGCTGTTCGTGCCGTGGGAGTCCTTCCTGGGCGAAGGAACAGGTGAGATCAACAGCATCTGGGCGCGGGCTCGAGACGCTATGGCCCCGAGAATATCATGTCTCGTCGACAACGTGCAGCTGCTTCGACGATCCGCCGAAGACGCAAAACGCGACGCCAAGCAATGGGCAGCCTCGTCCGGCGATGGCGACCCGACGGTCGCACACGTCGAGGAGGGTGGAGCAGGCGAGGCGGGCGCGGAGTCTGCAGCGACATATCAGCCCAACAGCATCGGAGACGCAACGCGGCTCATCGACGTCGTCCGAGGTGCAGTGGGAGCGAATCAGGTGACGGCCAAGTCGCCGGAGCTCATGGCAATGATACAGCAGCTCTGTCGGTTTCAGCAATCGGCGCTGCGCTCGACGGCCGAGCTCGAGGCCACGGCGCTGATCGAACGAGGGGAGAGGCGGTTAAGCATGCCAGGGCGGGTATTTTCCGGGGCCGCACTACCGCCGCAGGATCAGGTCAAGGCTATCAAGTCGCAGCAGGTAAGTGCCTCGAAGGAGAGGGAGAGGATGATCCAAGGGATACAAAGCACGCCCGCCGCCTGGGAAAGCGATCGCCGCGCAGCGTTGCGAAGGGTGATGACCGGTTTCGGGAGGACGAGGTCGAAATGACGATGGCCGACTCGACGAGACCGCTATCGACGCAGGGGCGGGAATGGACGTTCAGTTTGGCCCATCAACCTCCTTCCTCGCGGCGGGCAAGGTGTTGGCAACACGGCTGACGCTGAACAAGAGGCAGTCCATCGCTTTTCTGATAATATGCCGCCAGCTCGATTTGATGCAGCAGACCGACGGGGCGATGCCTGCCAGCTGCGCCAGTTCGTCGGTGGCGAGGGCGGTACCGGCAAGTCGCGAATCATCGAGGCACTCGTCGAGCTGTTCAGTAAAAGAGCCTTTCGAATCGTCTGCTGATCACGGCGACGTCGGGGACTGCGGCGGCGCGGATCAACGGCATCACGATCCACCCGCCTGCGGGTTCACTAAAGACCAAGGGGCGGGGGCGCGAACATGGTCAAAGACCTTGACGGTGCGGCTGCCGAAACAGGCGGAGCGGTTCATCCACGGCCAGTCTCGAATGGATTGGCAGGAGAAGGATGTGCTCGTCATCGACGAGGTGAGCATGCTCGGGGCGCGGACGCTGCACGCCGTGAACGAGCGGCTTCGCCGGCTTCGCGGATCGCGGCAAGATTTCGGGGGGATCCCCATCGTCCTCTTCTGCGGAGATTTTCAGCAGTTCCGGCCGGTCCAAGAGAGGTCGATCGTCCTGCCTAGCGCGGCCATCTCGTGGGACGTAGACAACTCGTTCAAGGCCGAGCAGCGTCACCAGCACGACAAAGCGCACGCACTGTGGAAGAGGTTCACGACGGTCGTCATGCTGGACGAGCAGATGCGCGCCGCCGGCGACCCGGAGCTGCAGAGGCTGCTGAAGCGGATCCGTCTAGGCGTGCAGGATCGGACGGATCTAAACCTCCTCAACTCAAGGTGCTACCGGGAGGAAGGCGGATCCCTTGGGAGACGGGCATCACCGTGGTGACGCCGCTCAATAGGAATCGGTGGAACCTGAACATGGAGGCGAGCCTGGCGTTCCGGGTCCAGCAGCGGTCGACGATGCGCATTTTCATCTCCGAGCACAAGTGGAAGGAGGAGCTGCCGACGGAGGAAGAGGCGATCATGATACTCAACCAGGGCGACGATAGCGCGATCCCGGTGCCGGCCGTCTTCATGTTCGTGGCCGGGATGCCCATCGTCGTGAACCACAACACCCACCAGGGGCTGAAGCTAGTGAACGGCGCGAGCTACTCGGCGGTGGAGGTCATTGTCGACAAGGCGTACCCGGGGCATCGGATCTCGGCCGATATGACGATCCACTTCGGCCGCCGGCGGGGATCATTCTCGAATCGGAGACGACGAGATATCTCCACTTCGTCGGGATGCCGCCGGGCACGATCTTGTTGACACCCATGACCGTTAAGATACAGTGCCAGCGAAAAAGGCCGTGGCAACGCAACGACGTCAGCCGAAAGGGTTTGCCGTGCGCAGCAGCGTTCGCGTGCACGGACTACAAGGTGCAGGGCAAAACGCTGGAGCGCGTGGCCCTCGAGCTGCGAGGACACGGACGACGAAGATGGATGGAACGGTGGTGCCCTCGCAGTGCGACCCGTACGGCCTGTACGTGCAGCTATCGCGCTGCCGAACTCTAGACGGCATCATGCTCGTGTCCAAGGTGCGGGACAGAGACTTGGTGGGCAACCGGGTCCCCGAGGAGATGACTGCCGCACAGGCCAGGCTCGAGGTACTGAGCGAGAGGACCGTTGAGGAGGCGTTGCGCTGGCTGGACGGTGATGCTGAAGAGTCAAGGCGGCCGCGCTAGGTGACGCGATGAAGAGTTCGGCAGGCGGGAAGAGTCGGCAGGCGGCAGACAGGGTGGGAGGCGCCTAGTGGTGGGATAAGGCACGCGAAAAGGCAACAGAAGCCGGGGGAAGGGCAGCGACCAACGAGGAGGGAGGCAAGGAGGGACCAATCACAAGGGACCAATCAAGGGGCGGAGAACTTTTGGGGGGAGAGGGCGGGGTCTGCGGGGCACGTTAGAAGGCCTTTCGTTCCTCAAGGCACTTATTCTGATTAATGTACGGGTAAGGCAACCCCGCACGGGTTGCGCAATAAGCCTTTCGGAACGAAGATTACGACCAGAGGGGAAGAGAAAGGAATAAACAGCAGCAGAGAGGCAGAAGGAATGGGGGGTGTAACAGTTCAGCAAGTTCAACTTAACTAGCTACCTAGTTAGAACGAATAAGCTAATAAGGACGAGAATATAGAGGTAAAGAGGAGGAAGGAAAAGGAGTTATACCTACGTCAAGAAGTAGGTCCAGTTGCATAAAGTTAGTCTAGGCCTAGCTCGTAATATATAGTAAAGGTAAGAAGGGGAGGGAAGGGAAGAGGGGGAAGTGGAGTTATAGTATCACGGGGCGGACTAGGCAACGAGGGAAGAACGATGTTGTCGGATACAGAGCTATGGACAGTATGCGAGGGCCGGGCATATATGTATGTGGCTATAGACACGTGGTGTGTAGAGGTACCTTAGTACCGTGAGATATAGACTAATAAGTAGGGGTAGCTTTTCTTATATTAATAGTATAGCGAGAGTATAGGCCTAGCTTATATAGTAACTAGGTTGTAGAGGTATATTATTTTGGAGAGTTTAGTAGATATCAAGTATAGATTCAGTGTTATTCAGATAGTAGGCTCATTTTTGCATGCGTTGGCGGAGGGGCCGGATGGGCGCGTCGCTAGTACTAGCGACGATAGAGTCAAGAAGGGAACCGGGCGCGGCGGCCAGGGCATGAGCGGGCGTGTCCCCGGGCGGCCTTGACGACGAGGCGGACTGCGGGGGTGAGGAGGAAGTGGCGGCGGAGCCAACAGTGCTCGAAGAGGAGGAAGGAAGCGAATGGTGCTGGTGCAAGGTGCGCGACCTCTTAATCGGGGAGTCGGCCACGGCCGAGCAGGCCCGCTTGGGCGGCGGCGTCACAGGCGCATCGGCAGGCGGCCCGGAGCCTTGGAAGGCGTGTGCGGCGCGGTCGAAGGCGGCGTAGCAAGCGAGTAGGAGGCGGCGCGGACGAGGTCAAACGCAGAGGAGGTGGAAGAGGTTGACGCCTCAGGGCTGGGCCAGCGGGGAAGCGGAGGCGGCAGCGGCGGAAGACCTATCATGGAAAGTCCAGCTATCCGGGACGACGACGAAGACGTAATCGCGGTCCGAGCCGGGCGGGACACACATCACGCCATGATCGAGAAGGCCGGCGACCTTGCCAGTGCAGGTAAACGGGATACCAGGCAGAAAGGAGAGGCGGACCTCTCGGCCAGCTTACACAGGACGAGCCAAGGGTTGGCATAGATGGGAAAGATGACAAAGACCTGAAAGGGGTGGTAGCCCTTGAAGGGAACCTTGTCCGGGACGCCAGGGCGATGTACGTCGATAGCTGGATTAGGCCGCAGCAGCGGAGCTGGTCGGTCCCAAGACCAGGAAGAAGATCGGCCTGCAGGAGGTCAAGTCCGAGCCGGCGACGACGCCGTGAAAGGAGACAACAGGAGGCGTCGAGGGGAAGTGGCCGTCGGGTGCCAAGGAGCGCGGGAGGACGCTTAGGGAAGAGATCAGCGGGGCGGCAAAGAGGACGGAGGGGAGGCTCACGGCTGGTAGCCCTGGTCGCGGACGACGAGGGCGGGCATCGTATAGAGGAGAGTCTCGCCGACGTCGGCCTCGAGACCGTCGCGGCGCTCGACCTCCCAGGCGAGGGCGTACGGATGGACGCGGCCGGACATAAAGAACCACTGCTCAGACCAATCCGAGTCGACGACCGGCTGGCCGTAGATTGAGAGATTCAAGCTAAAGAAGAGGGGGGAGACATCGTTATCATCCCCCGCTGCCCGGAGGGGAGCGTACTCGAGCGCCAGCAGCCACGAGGGGGCGGGAAGGAGGACGCGGGCAATGGCCTCGGCGTTGAGGCCCCTCACGCGGTGCTCGTCCTGGTGGGCGAACCTCACGGGGCAGTCGGGCTGGGCAAAGAACATCATGGTCAGCGCCGCCGGCGCCCTTATTGCCTGTAAGAGGCCTGCGAAGGTGCGGCGGAGAGTCGGTGGTAGGCGGCGTCATTATAGCCCTCTAGCAGGAAGTAAGTCAACAACAATAGGGGCAAGGGGGAAGCCATACATAGCTATATAGATCGCAAAGAAGCCTATATAGCGCGATACTGCATTAAGAAGCGCGGTAGGGTTAGGAGATTAGAAGATCGGATATAGGTTAAAGTCCTAGAGAAAAGAAGGCATAAAGGGTTAGCAGGGCAGGCCATATAGGGTCCCATATAGGTAATAGAGAAGACATAGATGAAAGCAACGAGAACAATAGGAAAGGATAGGAAAGATATAATCGGCGGTCTACTACGAGATTAAGGGGTCTTAATATATAAGCCATACGGCAGGGCTAAGCGTGAAGGGAAAGGTATAGCATTGTCTCTGATGCGTACGAGACATTGAACTAAAGGCGGGCACATAAGCGCCTAGGGACGGACCCAGACGTAGGCTATGGGGTCCTAGGAGAGAAGAGGGAAAGCGTGGCGCATAGAGCGTCAAGGACGAGAAGCCATTGGTAGGACCTACGTCTAGGGAACAGCCGAGGCCGCATCGGCCGCGGGTAGGGCAGTAGGCGTCAGTCGGTACGGACCGCAGACAGCTAGCGCGGGCATAATAGTAAGTAAGTAGCATATGTAAGACATGCTAAGTCGGGAGGCCGAGGGCATATAGATATGTGATTAAGAAGCATGTGTTATGTGGAAGGCATGGGCCGAGCGGGAGCATGGCGAAGAGAGGGGCTACACGCCAGCGGCCCGTATATGGAGAATGTTTGCCGAAGGAGGTGGTGGCATAGTAAGTAGGTAAGGCCAAGAGAGCGTACGCAGAGGTAGCAGCATCCATCACGATGAAGCCAGCCAGTACAGAAGCGCAGCACGGGGCTGAGAGCAGCGCAGGCCGAGCACGGGAGGCACCCAGAGCCCCATATATAGCAATGAGGTTCAGGCCGATCTCGGCGGCGCCGGTGCCCGGCGCGGAGGGTCGGCAGGTGGCGCATGAGAGGGCGTCAGGGCTGGTGCTGCCGAAGCGAAGGCGACGGGGCGGCCGGCCGGCGAGGAATCCAGGGGAGGGGACCGGCGCGGGGGAGGCAGGCACGACTAGGGCCACGGCGGGAAGGACGCCCCCAGGCACAAGCGACCAGGGGGCGATGGAAGGAAGACGGCGCCGTCGACACCGGAGACGAGGCGGAGGCGAAACGTAGAGAAGCCGGCGAAGGCGAGGTGGCCTCCTCACGCCGCCAAGCTCCGCCGAGGCGCCGCGGCCTGGCAGGAAGGAGGCCGGGGCGGCCAAGGCAGCAGCGGATCGACAGAAGCCAGCAGCCGCTGTTCCGGGATATCCAGCCGCGGCCGACATCGGGGGAGGCTCTAGCGACACAGCCATGGAGCGCGGCAGGCCCGGCCCTAGGTCCGGCGGCACGGCAAAGACAGCTTCAGAGGATACAGCCCTGGCCGGGGAGCGGGCCAGAGGGTGCCACGGGGGACGCGGCCGAGGGCGCAAAGCCCAGTGCAGAAATGAAAAGCCAACGCGCCGGTATAGTTCCCAAGCAGGCTCCCAGGGTCGGTCGACGGAGAGAGGTGGTTAACGTGATGTAGATGAGACGACGATGGGCCCGCCGCCCCCTGGACAGAGACAGAAGAGAAAGCGCAGCCCGGTTGGCAAAGAAATCGAGGCAAGACATGGCGGCCGCGCGTCAAGCATGGCCGGGCCGTCCCTAGGCCCCACGGCAAGTCAACAGGCGCCTCGGTGATCCTGCCTCGGCCAGTAGCCACGATGGAGAGCGCTATAGGGGACACGGCTGAGGTTGTAGGGCCTGGCGAGGCAATAGAAGGCCAACGCGCAGGTAAGACTATGAACGGTGCCAAGGTATATATATAGATGTCTAATCGGATATAGATGGGATGACGAGAGGCCCGCCACCTCGAGAGAGACAGAAGAGGAAGGGCAACGCCGCCAGCGGACAGACCGAGGCAAAACGGAGTCGCGGCGACCAGAGGCGGCCAAGGCCAAGGCAGATGCAGGCCGAGGACCTGGCGGACGTGCTGCGGGGCCTCGAAGAGGAGTTCGAGGCGGGAGAGAGGCTGGCCGGCGAGGGGGCGTGGTGGGCGGCGGTGCCGCGGGGAAGGGGGGGCAGGGAAGGGCGGGGGGTCTAGCGGGGGGTTCACGACGCCGGCACGCCACCGACCGCGACGCGCACGCCATGCTACCGGAAGCAGGCCAGGTGGAGCTCAGGAGATGGCGTGGGAGGGCTGGTCGCGGCACGGCGCGGCGCAGGAGGCGGGCGGTCGCCGTTCGGGCCGAAGCTGCTTCCCGAGGGCGCGCCGGTGCCGGTGTGCGCCGAGTGCGCGCGGCGGGTCGGGCGCGACGGCGCATCGGCGGCGATGCACCTCCACCGGCGGCTCGGCTGCGAGCACGTCTACCCGGACGAGCTCAAGGCCTGACGCCGGTCGAGGAGAAGCTGATCGCGCTCAACTCATGCTACGGCTTCGTGACGAAGGACAGCATCCCCGGCGGCAAGAGGCAGGGCGTGAGGCACCCGAGGCACGTCAAGGGCCACATCACGGAGTTCCCAAACGACGTCCAGGGGCTTGCGACCAACGGGCTCCCGCACCCGCTGCTCCGGGTCATGGACGAGATCCACGTCTCGTGGCAGGGCGCCGAGAGGCCCGGGCCGCGGGACTTGTCCGGCCTGCTGTCTGTACGGCGGCGGCCGGTGGAAAGGGCGTTGGCGTGGCTTAAGGAGAATAACCCGCACTATAGCGAGGTCGAGGTCGACACGGCCGAGATGGACAGCTGGGGGGAGCCGGCGCACGGGGTGCCGGCGGCGGTGTGGGAGCGGCTCGAGCACAACGAGCCGTCGGCGCGCGAGAGGACGCAGACGGCGCAGCTGGTGCCGCCGACGGAGCGGGCCATGGACGACGAGGGCGTCGTCGAGATCGAGGAGGTGCTTGCGATGCTAAGGCAGGGCCGGGACCCCGCCGAGGGCCGGCCCGACCCCGGGCCTACGTACGAGGGGGCGGGTAACGGCGAGGATCTAGAGGGCGCTAGGCCCGAAGAGGAGGGGGACATAATTAACGAGGTAACGTCGTCCGGCATGTTCGACGGGGCGCCCGAGGTGGCGGACGCCGATAAGATCCGCTTCGCCCGCGAGGCTATCGGGACCATAGGCCCGAGGACATGGGTCAACATGGCGGCGGGAGGGGCGGCGGGAGGGGCGGCGAGGAGCAGCGGCCGTGGCGGCGACAGCGAGCCCTACATACAGGTGCGGCGCGGAGACGAATTTGCCGACTCGGCAGACGCGTCCTTCTTCGCCAGGGCCTTCCCGACCCTGTTGCCCTTTGGGCTAGGCGGGCCGAGGCTCGCCGACGAGGCCGCCGCGGGCGAGGGCGCGGCCGCGGCCGCCGGCCGGCGGGGCGACGACAGCGCGACGCCGGTGCCGGCCGTCTTCGTCTTCGTGCCCGGCATGCCGGTCGTCGTGAACCAGAACACGCACCAGGGGCTGAAGGTGGTGAACGGGGCCGGCTACACGGCGGTGGCCGTGATCCCCGACCGGGCCTTCCCGGCCACCGGGTGTCGGCGGAGCTGACGCTGCACTTCGGCCGCCGGCGGGCATCGTGCTGGCGTCGGAGACGACCCGGGACCTCCACTTCGTAGGGATGCCGGCCGGGACGATCCTGCTGACGCCCATCAGCGTGAAGATCACGGCGCAGCGGAAGCGGCCGTGGCAGCGCAACGACGTGAGCCGGCGGGGCCTGCCGTGCGCGGCGGCCTTCGCCTGCACCGACTACAAGGTGCAGGGCGGGACGATCGAGCGCGTCGCGCTCGAGCTGCGGGGGGCGAGGACGACGACGGTCGAGGGCAGGGCGGTGGCGTCGCCGTGCGACCCGTACAGCCTCTACGTGCAGCTCGCGGTGCCCGACGCTCGACGGCATCACGCTCGTGTCGGAGGTGCGGGAGCGGGACTTCATAGGGAACCGGGTGCCGAAGGAGATGACAGCGGCGCAGGCACGGCTGGAGGAGCTAAGCGGGCTGACGACGCGAGAGGCGGCCGGCCTACCCGCGGGTGAGGACGCGGGCGAGGAGGGCCGAGGCAGCCCGGCCCCAAAGAAGACCAATGAGAGGGAGTCTTCAAGAGATGGCCAAGAGGAGGGGGGGGCCAATCAGGAAGAGGCTTCAAAGGGGGCAAAGAGGGGAAGAAAGAGCGGGAAGAGGGGTCGAGTTACGACGAATCAGAGGTAAGAACGGCGACGAATGAGAAGATGAGGGACACGGGGTAAAAAGCGCCGACCAATCAGAGGGCCGGAAAGTGGGTTGGAAATTTTTGGAACAGGAGAAGGCTCGCCTCGGGCTCGCGCAAAGAGCCTTGAGGAACGAAAGTTTGTGGTTGAAATTTGAGGCTGACAGGAGAGGCAACCCAACGGGGGTTGCGCAAAGAGCCTTGAGGAACGAAAGACTACAGGGAAAAAAACTTAAGGAAGAAAAAAAAGGGGCAGACGTGAGGATTGAGGATGGAGTAAGAACAGGGGGGACTTAAGGACGGAGTGAAAAAGAGTGATAGAACCAGGGTAGGGTTAAGGAGTAGGTTAACTTAAAGTATAAGATTTAACTGTCTTACTCGTTTAGGAAACTGTAGCAGTTTATGGTTTCGCATCGTTATTCCGTTTCGGTAGCTTTCTTAGATAGGGGACGGTTTCGGAGTGGACGGGCCGGCGAGTCCAAGCCATGCGCGACAATGGAATGGAGGGAAGAGTCCCCAAGACATGACCCCGTTTAGGCTATCCGGCTTAGATGTCAAGGAGGCAGCCGAAACAGAGAACGACTGGGTGGCAGATGAGCCAGGGTTAGGGAAGACGAAGGCACCGGGGCCTTGCAGCAGCCGCGGTCGTTTCGTCGGCGTATCGGCAGGCTCGGGGCAACATCGCTTCGGGCGGCCCAAGGGGCCGGTCGAGGGCGAAGCCGAAGCCAAAGGTGGAGGGCTGAGCGGGAGGGTGCCAGGGGTGGCCAAAGACAAAGAGGCAGCGCGCATGTCCTGAAAGGCCGCGGAAGGGGAGGACGCCTGCTGCCTCTGTGGTGTAGAGAGAAGTGGTGTCATTGGGGTGACGGCGGCGGCGGCCTTGTCGAGAAATGTCCAAGAATCCGGGACGACAATAAAGACGTTGTCCCGGTCGGAGCCTGGGGGATAGAGCATAACGTCATGACGGAGCAGGCCGGCGACCTTGGCTGTGCAAGTAAAGGGGACGTTGGGTTGGAGAGTCTCGCCTCGGCCATCTTCTTACACAAGATGGCCCAGGGTTAGCGCGAATAGGAAGATGACGAAGACCTGAAGGGGGAAGCCCTTGAAGGGAGTTTATTGGGCATCCCAGGAGCGACGTAGGTAGAAAGGCGGACAAAGCCGCAACAGTTAAGCTGGGCGGCGTCAGACCCGGCAGGAGGTCCCGCCGGAGCAAGGAGTGGCCGGTGCCGACGATAAGGCCGGTAAAGGAAACAATAGGCGGGACGCAGGAAGTCGTCCATAGCCAAGAGCCTAGGAAGAACGCTTCAGGCCCACCTTAGCTATGTATCTTTCGTTGGCACTTGCGAGGAACAGGGCACGGCTTACGGCTGGTAGCCTTGGTCGCGGACGACAAGGGCGGGCATCGTATAGAGAAGGGTGCCGCCCGTGTCGGACTCCAGGCCGTCGCGCTGCTCAATCTCCACGCAAGGGCGTAGGTGGACGCGGCCATTCATGAAAACCACTCTTCCGTCCATTTTGAGGCATCAATAGGCTGGCCGTAAATCGAGAGATTGAGACTAAAGAAGACGGATGTCGGGAATCGTCGGCCTCCAATCGGAGGGGCGCATATCCCATCGCGAGCAGCCAGGCGGGCGGAGGCAGCAAGACGCGGGCCATGGCCTCGGCGTTAAGACCCTTGATGCGGTGCTCGTCCTGGTGGGCAAATCTAACGGGGCAATCCGGCTGGACGAAAACACCATGGACATCTCGCCGCCAGCGCCCTCTGGCTATCGAGCGGCTTTCGAAGGTGTGGTGCGGGCACATCGATGGGAGGTAGAGAGGAAGACATGGTGCAGCAACGCAGGTCGATAGGCCAGTCGCGCGCACGAAAATGACCAGTGCTCAGTGTCAAGAAAGAAAGGAGTAGGGAAGAAGTCGAGCGTGAAAGCACTTGGGATAGATCAATGGTGACATAGATTCGCCGGGAAGGGCGAGGAGCCTTGCCGCTGTAAGTAAACGGACGTTGAAGAGATGCGTAGTGGTGTCGTGTAGCTGGGTTCCGATCAGGCACCAAGGGCGGCGCGGACTAAAGTGTCCGGCAGGGCTGGCGGCATAGGAGGCCGAAAGTTAGGCTGTCGGCAGATAAGCCTGCCGATAGGTCCAGAGGAAGCCCAGCAGGCCTGGGAGAGCAGAGGCCTGATGCAAAAGGAGGACATCAATAAGGAAGGACATAAACAGGGGCGTTTTAGAAGGCTGAAGATAAGGGGCGGGGATGAAGCAGGCAAGATCAGCACAGGGAACCTTGTCATACCTTTCCACGCCCTGTTGTACACCAATTAGTTTGCCCTCCTCGCGGGGGGTAGAGACCGACCTAATATATAACACGTGCAAAGCGCACGGGAGGTGTTGCAGGAAGGTCGTGGTTACACTTGATAGGGAAGGTCGGGAAAGAGGGGACCGGAAGCAACCGTTATAGGTGAGGGCGAGCTGAAGGGAGGGCCATTCCTACTTTCGGTGCAGCAGGAATACTAAGAGATACCGAGGAAAAAGAAAGATTAGCACAATGTTCCTTTGGCCGCCTATTTGCAACGGCCAAATAGAAAGATGCGGAGGAGAACCGAGGAGGGAGGAGAAGACCTCGCCAGGCAGATTTTTATGGTGTCAGCTCCTGCGCATGGGCTAGTCGAGGCCGTCCGCCGGGAAAGACGCGTGGCGGCGGAGTTAGGAACCGCGGGGGAGAAGGGAGGGGGTCTGTCCCGGACAAGCACTGCCGCGTTGTCCCCGAGTTATAAAGACTATAAGGTTGCTGGAGACAGACCGCTGGTAGGAAGAATGGCGATACGGCGGAACGCCATCGCCGGGAAGCAAGGCAATCCCAGCGTATATCGCGAGCGAAAGCTTCCCTATCCATCGTACGGTTGCAGAGCCTAGCCGTCAAGAAAGCACCAGCATGGGGGAGAATCCTAGCCGCGAGGCTAGGTTGGTGGCAAGAGGGTGCGAAATAGCGACGGTGGCAGCGGCCGCTGCTGCGACGAGGAGCATTACGGCGGGGAGACTGAGTGCAACGGACGAAGGGCCGAAGCGGGCCTCGGACCATGAAAGCCAAGCTAATACGGTACCTAGGTTCCGGCCTATCGAAGCCAAGCAGGCAACGCTGGCTGAGGAGGCCTCACGAAGAGAACAAGCAGAGGCACTCAAAAGAGCGTTGCCCAAGGGAAGTCGGCGAGGCGGTTGGCCGCGGGAAAAGACGACGCACGTCAATGGCGCCTCCTCGAAGGGAGGGCGGGCGCGACGCTCAGAAGCGATAAACGCGCGTGATAGGTGTCCAAGCATAGAAGCAGACGCTGCCACAATAGGGTCGGTAGTTGCTGAGCCGGCTAGGCGGGGTCTTACGCCGTCCGTTGGCGCTGTGTTGAGGGAGCGGCCGACAACCTCGTACCGCAGCGGCACACGTTGGCGAAGGAGATGAGGGCTAGGAGTGGCGAGAGAGCGCACCAGGCATAGTTGCTCTGCAAGCACCACCCGCCCCAGGGTCTTGGTTGGCGAAACGAATGCCTAAGCGGCAGGGGATCTTCCGTCGCGGCCGGAGGTGGCCACGAGATCGTTCGGCCTGGGCAACTCATCGGTGGCGTACGGATGACTCTGAAGGGTCTTGTTAGGCGGACAACTGGTGCCGGGGGGGAACAGAGGAGGGGGAGACCGACAAGCAGGATGGGATTTCGGCTGGGAGAGGCGAGCCTGCAGTCGCCCCGGGCCATCCAGCCCAAAGGGATCAGGGACGTGGCCGGGCACAATCGTCCTTCTGGCGAGGCCGGGTCGTGCATCGGGGCAGCGGCCGCTGCTACGAGGAGGAATACTGCGAAGGCGAGACCGAGCGCGACGGACGAAGGACCGAAGCGGGCGTTGGGCCGCGAAAGTCAAGCGGGCCCGGCACCTGGGTTGCGGCCTATCGAGGCGAAGCAAGCGCCGATGTCCGGGGAGGTCTCAGGAGGAGAGCAAGCGGAAGCACCCGAAAGAGCGTCGCCTCAGGGAAGTCGGCGAGGCAGTCGGTCGCGAAAAAATACGGCGCGCGTTGATGGTGCCTCTGCAAAGGGAGAGGCAGCGCGACGTTTAACAAGATCTCGGCCAGAGGACGTAAGCCAGCGCTTGCCGCAACAACCCATCCAGCCGAAAGGGATCAGGGGCGCGGCCGGACACATACCTCCCTCGGACGAGGGCGGATCGTGCGTCCGGGTCGTGGAGGGCGTCCAGAGGGGCACGACTAGAAAGCGAAGGGGTGGTGCGCAGACGAGGCCCAAGGGCCCCGACGGACACTGCCGCCCAGGAGCACAGGATCGGCCGGCAACCAGTGTCGGGGTTTCGTCTCGAGTTGTCAGGGAGCGCCTCATTAGGCCAATCCAACCTAAAGAAATAAAATACAGAGCGGGAGATTTGCAGTCACCCGGACGCCAGGCGGGACAGGGTCGGCCGGCAATCAGGGTCGGGACCTCGCCCAGAGTAGTCGTCAGGGAGTACGTCGTTCAGCCGATCCAACCGAAAGAGATGGAAGAGGGAGCCGGAGATACACACTCATCCGGACGGTTGCCACCACGGCCATCAGGGGAGGCAGCGGCGGGAGAACAAGACCGGCCGAGGCGAGACGAGGCTGCGGCAAGATCTTCGCGGCCAGCGGAACAGAGAAAGAGGAACCGGCAACCCGACCGAGACGAGCCACTGACGAAACGTACTCGAGGCGGCCAATCTAGGGAGGTGGGGGATGGAGCAGGAGATGTGCAGTCATCCGGACGGCTGCCACCACGGCCACCACGCCAGGCAGGACGGAATCGGCCGGCAACCAGGGTCGGGATCTCGTCTCGAGTTGTGGTCGTCAGGGCATCCCCCCTCCAGCCAATCGAAGCTAGAGAGATGGAGGATGGAGCCGGATATTTGCAGTCATCCGGACAGTTGACACCACGGCCATCACGTCAGGCGGCGGCGGGAGAACAAGATCGGCCGAGGCGAGACGAGGCAGCGGCAATATCTGCGCAGCCCGTGGAACAGAGAAAGAGGAACCGCCTGCCCGACCGAGACCAGCCCCAGGCGAAACGTAGTCGAGGCGGCCATCGGAGGCAGAGGAGCCGTGAGTCACAGGCGGAGGATTTGGCCGGCGTCTTACGTCACCTTGGGAGGAATTCGCCGCGAAGGAGAGGCTGTCCAACGAGCAAACGTGGTGCACACCAGTGCCGCACGAGAGGAAGGTATCAACGGTGCGGAGCTTTACCGGGCGTTCCACGACGTGGACACGCTGCCGATACGGACGTGCATGCTGTGCTACCGGAAGCGCACGAGAAAAGAGCTGAGGGAGGTGGCATGGGACCAGTGGTTGTCAAGTCCTATCCCTAAGGCTGGGTGGTCGCCATTTGCGTGCCGGAGTTGCTTCCGCGAGGGCGAGCCTGTCCCGGTTTGCGCAGAGTGTTCTCGACGCTTGGCGTGCGGTGTGCTGTCGCCAGCGGCGCAGCTTCATAGACGTCTCGGTTGTGAGCACACGTTCCCGGATGAGCTCAAGGGCCTGACGCCGGTGGAGGAGAAGCTGATCGCGCTGAACTCGTGCTACGGATTCGTAACCAGGTACAACGTCTCAGGCGGCCAGAAGCAGACGCTAAGGTATCCCAAGCACGTCAAGGGCCACATCACGGTGTTCCCAAACAACGTACAAGAGCTGGCGACGGACGTGCTGCCGCACCCTCTCTTCCAGGTAATGGACGAGATCCACGTCTCGTGGCAGGGGGCGCTAAGGCCGACACCGAGCGATCTGTCGAGTCTCCTATCGGTGAGGCGGCGAGTCGTCGAGAGAGCCCTTGTCTGGTTGAAGAGGAACAACCCCCACTACGCCGCGATCGAGATCGACGCGGCAGAGATGGAGAGCTGGGGACCCGGCCCACGGGGTGCCGCCGTTGGTGTACGAGCGCCTGGAGCGGAACGAGCCGTCGGCGTGGGAGAAGACGCGGACGGCGCACGTCGTGCCGCCCACGGAGCGGGCCATGGACGACGAGGGGGCGGTGGAGATCGAAGAAGTCCTCGCCATGCTCAACCAAGGGGAAAGCACGACGAGTCGCGAGGCCGGCGAGCCAGAGGCAAGCGAGGTGGACGAGGTGCGTGGTCAGAGCTGCGGCGAGGCCGATGATAATGCGAAGACGGTCAACGAGGTGACCTCGTCAGGATGTTTGCGTTGGACGGACCGCCCGACGTGGCCGACGTCGACAAGCTGCGGTTCGCATGCGATTCCGTTCGCCAAGGCGCAGCCGACGACGGTACGGGCCCGAGGACGTGGGTCGAATCCTCGGCAAGGGGGCAGCCGGGGCACGTCGATGGTCCTGAACCATTCATCCATGTCCGCCGCGGGATGAATTCGCCGACTCGTTCGAAGCTTCTTCTTCGCAAAGACCTTTCCACGCTATTACCATTCGGTGTCGGAGGGCCGCGGCCGGTCGAGGAAGCAAGCTCGCAGTTGGGCAGAGGCTCGGTCAACACGCGCGCGGCGGCGGAGGCGGGGCGCAGGACCTCCTGTCATCCCGGAACATGAGCCTTCGTACGTGGGCCGACACGGTGTTGCGACGCCACGGCGGCCGGTTCGCGACGCACCACATCTTCGCATTCCTCGTCTTCAACATGGGCGTGCGGTCGAGGAACCGCCGCGTCAGCATGCTGAGCGTGACGAGGAAGAACTTCCGCAAGGTGGAGCGCATCGTACGGTCGCTGACCGCAGACGGGTTAGCGGCAGCCAGAGCCGAGCTGGAGAGCACAGGCAAGACGACCGACGACGGCGTGAAAGAGCTCCGTCTCAGTATGCGGCACAAGATCCTGGCGCTCATCGTCCGCTACGGCGTGCCTGCGATCTGGTTCACGATCAACCCAAACGACATCACGAACCCGGTGAAGCTCCGACTGGCAGCGTACCGCACGCGCGACCCTGAGGCGGCCGAGGAGTTCCTGCGGAGCCTCGATATGTCGTTCAAACGGGTGAGGCTGTCCGTCTCCGACCCGATGAGCTCAGCCATGTTCTTCCACCGGGAGATGACGCTGTTCTTCGAGCATTACGTAAATGCAGGGGGGGAGTCGGTGTTCGGGCGCATCGGCCACTACTACGGTGCCGTGGAGACCAACGAACGAGGATCCCTTCACGTCCACGGGCTGCTCTGGTTACACGGAAACGCGCACCTGAGCTCCATGCTTTCCGACGCCCACGGGGAGGAGCAGGCGGCGTACCGTGAGCGAATCATCCGCTATGTCGATAGCGTCTTCTGTGAGGTAGGTAACAGCAAGGGGCGTTGCTGTCATGGGCCGAGAAGACGCAGGCTGACGCGGAAGGCAGGACTTGGACCAGGAAGGCTTCTGCGCCGTGCAGGCGGAGCGTTCGGTGACGTCTGACGTCTCATCCCTGCTGGACAGTGCCGAGCAGTTCTCGGCCGGATTCGAAGAGGAAGCCAACTTCTGCGCCGGCGCGACGCAGATCCACACCCACAGCCCGACATGCGTCAAGTACTCCCTGGGCAACAAGGGGCGAAGGGGCGACCTCTGTCGCTTCAAGGCGCCATGGAAGCTGGTCGAGGAGACGACGCTCACAGGACGGCGTGCTGCGGATCCGCAGGACGCATCCCATGGTGAATCGGTGGAACAAGGCCATCGCCGTGGGCTCCGCCACAACCACGACATCTCCTTCATAGCGACGCAGCGGAAGACCATGGCTCTCGTCTATTACGTGACGAATTACGCGACCAAGGTAGAGGACCCGACGTGGAAGGCGTCGCCGCGGCCGCGGAACTGCTGCCCGTCGTCGCAGCAGGTGGCCAGCCGGGTGCCAGGAGGATGCCGGAAATGGCGTCGTCGGCGGCGACGACGGAACCAAGAATAATAAGACGCGGCAGTTTCTGATGAGTGGCGAACAGGATATTCACGGAGCGCGCCCTGTCGCAAGTCGAGGTCGTCGCCCATCTCCTGGGATACCCGAGCGAGTTCACGAGCAGCAGCGCCTGGGCGTACCTGAACGTGTCGGTGCTCTACTGGCACGTCTCCAGGCGCTGGCGACACCTTCGGCAGGAGAGCGGCACCGCGGTCGCAGACGTGTCCGTGGACGAGTCGGTCGCCGTGGAGGAAGCAGGCGAGAGGATCAGCTTCGCCGAGGCGTACCATCATCGCGGACACGTCCTACGAGGCTTGTGCCTATATGACTATGTTTCGCTCGTCAGGCTCCAACGCGTCGGCAAGGACGGGTGCTCCGGTGCCTGGGGAGAGGTGCCTTCGAGAGCGGCTGGGTGGCCGGCAAAGACTGGGTGCAGGTATTGAGGCGGCCAGGAAAGCACGCCGTCGTCTGCCTTGACGGCCACCTTAGCAAGGATTTCGAGCAAGACGACGAGGAACAATGCCACCGCCGGTAAGTAGGTGCGGTGGATGGCCGGTCGAAAAGCGGTCCCAACGCGCGGTGACTAACCGTGCCGCTACAGAGCAGCCGTGCAGCATCTTGCCCTATTCGCGCCGTGGGAGACCTTTCTTAGCGAAGAGCGAGGCGACATCAACGAGATATGGAGGCGCGCACGAGAGCGGCTTCCGCCAAGAACCTCGTGCCTCGTCGATAACGTTCAACTACTCCGGCGGTCCGCCGAGGACGCAAAGCGAGACGCCAAGCAATGGGCAGCGTCGTCCGGCGACGGGGATCCGGCCGGCGCACCTGGCGATTGGGGGGAGGATGGGGAGGGGCCGGGCGAGGCGGACCGCGAGGCGGGATCCGCGTACCAGTCCGACAACGTCGGAAACGCAACGCGACTGATCGATGTCGTTAGAAGCGCGACCGGCGCGAACCAGATCACGGCGGGGTCGCGGGAGCTTTCGGGAATGATGCAGCAGCTCTCCCGCTTCCAGCAATCAGCGCTAGCCTCGACGGCCGAGCTCCGGGCCACCGTCGTGACCGAACGGGGTGGGGGGCACATCAACATGCCCGGGCAGGTGTTCTCCGGGGCCGCACTACCGCCGCAGGATCAGGTCAAGGCTATCAAGTCGCAGCAGACATGCGCCTCCAGAGAGGGTGAAGATGATCCAGGGCATACAAAGCATGGCCCCGGCCCACGGTACCGATCGCGGCGCAGCGGAGCGGAGCGTGCTCGCCGGCTTCGGGAGGAAGACGTCCAGGTGACGCGAGTGGAAACCGAGGAGAGGGCAGGTAACGCGGAGGCCGGCATGGAAGTCCGCCTCGGCCCATCCACCTCCTTTCACGAGGCCGGGAAAGACTTGACAAGACGATTGACGCTAAACAAGAAGCAGGCGATTGCCTTCTCCATAATATGCCGCCACCTGGACTCGATGCGGCAAGGAGACGGAGGCGACGTCAGCCAGCTCTGTCAGTTCGTCGGCGGCGAGGGCGGCACCGGCAAGTCGCGCGTCATCGAAGCACTCGTGGGCCTCTTCGCCGCGAAGGACCTCTCGCATCGCCTGCTGATCACGGCGACGTCGGGGACCGCCGCCGCGCGGGTCAACGGCATCACCATCCACTCGGCCTGCGGCTTCACCAAGGACCAAGGGCCGGGCGCGAACACGGCGAGGGACGTCGACGGCGTGCGGTTGCCGAGGCAGGCGGAGCGGTTCGTCAACGGCCAGTCTCGGATGGACTGGCAGGATAAGGACATGCTCGTCATCGACGAGGTGAGCATGCTCGGCGCGCGGACGCTGCACGCCGTCAACGAGCGGATCTGCCAGCTGCGGGGATCGCAGCGGGACTTCGGCGGGATCCCCATCGTCCTCTTCTGCGGGGACTTCCACCAGTTCCGCCCGGTCCAGGAGAGGTCGATCCTGCTGCCGAGCGCGGCCGTCTCGTGGGACGAGGACAACTCGTTCAGGGCCGAGCAGCGCCACCAGCACGACAAGGCGCACGCGCTGTGGAGGCGGTTCACGACGGCCGTCATGCTGGACGAGCAGATGCGCGCCGCCGGCGACCCCGAGCCGCAGCGGCTGCTGAAGCGGATCCGCGGGGCGTGCAGGACCACACGGACCTGGATCTCTCAACTCGAGGTGCCACCGGGAAGGCAGGCGGATCCCGTGGGAGACGGGCATCACCGTGGTGACGCCGCTCAACAGAAATCGGTGGAACCTCAACATGGAGGCGAGCCTGGCGTTCCAGATCCAGCAGCGGTCGACGGTGCGCATCTTCCTCTCCGAGCACAAGTGGAAGGACGGCCTGCCGACCGAGGAAGAGGCCATCATGATGCTGAACCAGGGCGACGACAGCGCGATCCCGGTGCCGGCCGTCTTCATGTTCGTGCCGGGGATGCCGGTCGTCGTGAACCACAACACCCACCAGGGGCTGAAGCTGGTGAACGGTGCTAGCTACACGGCGGTGGAGGTCATCGTCGACAAGGCGCACCGGGGCATCGGATCTCGGCCGACATGACGATCCACTTCGGGCCGCCGGCGGCGATAATACTGGGGTCGAAGACGACCAAGGACTTCCACTTCGTCGGGATGCCGCCCGGCACGATCCTGCTGACGCCCATGAGCGTCAGGATCCAGTGTCAACGGAAGCGACCGTGGCAGCAGAACGACGTCAGCCGAAAGGGCCTGCCGTGCGCCGCCGCTTTCGCGTGCACGGATTACAAGGTGCAGGGGGGGACGCTGGAGCGCGTGGCGCTCGAGCTGCGGGGGACGAGGACGACAAACGTCGGCGGACGCGCCGTCCCGTCGCAGTGCGACCCGTACAGCCTATACGTGCAGCTGTCACGGTGCCCGACGCTGGACGGCATCATGCTCGTGTCGAAAGTGCGAGAGAGACCTAGTGGAAACCGGGTCCCCGGGAGATGACCGCCGCACAAGCGAGGCTGGAGGAACTGAGCGATAGAACTGTTCGGGAAGCGATGTGCAACAGGCTCGGTGAGAGCGCGGGGGACAGAGACGGTGAGCAGTAGGTAACTTAACCCAAGAGGGCGCGACACCAATAACTTAGCTATGCCCCACCCCGACCCTTGCAAGGACTTCATTACTAATGGGAAAATTGGGTCGGGGCGACCGGTGGAGCAGGCGGCACAAGCGAATGGGAAGGGGTTTTCAACGGGCCAGAAGCGAAAGCGGTTTATTATTCTGGGCAATCAGAAGTCTCAGGGCACGGACAAGCGAATCAGATGCCCCAGGACATGACAAACAGAAGGCGAAAGGCCCAACCGAAGGCGAAATGACCGTAGCCAATCGACCGAGCGAATCAGAAGCGGGGATTTCGAGGGGCAAAACCGGGGGTGGGGCATAAAGTCCTTTCGTTCCTCAAGGCAAAAGGGGGATTTATCTGTCTGTTTGATGTTTCAAGGTTTTGTGGTGGTTGCGGCATCACTGGCACGGAAAAAATCTTTCCCGCAGTAGCTTGCATCGCGCGACGGGTGATTGGGGGCGAAGAAGATCGGGCGCCAAGCTGTCAGTCATGTCATGCAGCAATACGTGAATAAAAAGCAAGGAGAAGATGAGAAGTGATGGAGGAAGAGGGGATAAAATAAGGCGTAGAGAATTCGGCCTTGAGTGGCCTACTTGCTGTTCTAGTGTACTTCGCATCATATGCGTCAGTTAATCATAAAAAAAACTACAGAGTATCTAAACATCTAGAACACAGATTATGGCGATGTCTACTTTCCGAGTCGAGTTCATATGCCAATTTGGCGCCAGGCAACTCATCCACAAGCATAGCATTCCTCGGAGCCTTGTGACGGAGGCAAACGGGGCCGGCGGAGATGCTGAATACAACGAGCGATTTACACGGGCATGATGCCTCTTATGAAGGAGCACGAATCAGCATGTCGCAGTGCGTCGGGTGCTTTCTGCGAATGCTGCGGGCGGTTTGCGACAGACATCTTACAGAGTCCGATATCGATGCTGCAGGCAGACGAGGCTCGCATTGTGGTTTGGGTCACATCGTTACGTGGAAGAGGGCAGTGCGAGGTAGAAATGAGACAGGAAATGCAACTAGTAATGGGGGAAATGCGGCAGGAGGAGGAAAGGCGAGATAAGTTTCTAGGACGCAATAGGTGCATGGAGGTCAGGCTGTGCAAAATATGCGGGACGACCGTGGGAGTGAAGCGGTGCAGTAGATGTCACGCAGTGGCATACTGCGGCACGGAACATCAAAAGGCGGACTGGAAGGTTCACAAGAAGGCGTGCGAGCCCCGAGAGGCTCAACAGACACGGAAAGTGTGGAAGGAAACGATGACCCTAAGCGAGGTCGTAGAGGATGGAACGGAAATTTAGGGAAGACTGTCTTGGAAGCTAACAACTTAAGACGAGAAAAAAGAGGGTGACTAAGACGAGGGCAAAAAGGGGGGGGGGGGAGGCGACGACTTTCATATATGGCCAACAGGAAAGCGGGATGAAAAAGGACACAAAAGAGGGGGAAAAAAACAGGGGCAAACTTGTAGGCCAACCGAAAAGCAATCGTTCAAGACGAAAGAGGCAATTTTTCTAGCCAACGGGAAGCCGAGAAAGCTAGCGAATCAGAGGCGCGGATTCGGGGGGCAAAAAAGCGCGGCATAGAAATCCTTTCGTTCCTCAAGGCAAAGAGTGGTCTCGCAGGGTAAGAAGAAAGCCTTTCGTTCCTCAAGGCAGAGTGGTCTCGCAGGGTAAGAAGAAGCCTTTCGTTCCTCAAGGCAAAAGAGTGGTCTCGCAGGGTAAGAAGAAGCCTTTCGTTCCTCAAGGCATAGTCAGCCTTCGGCTGAATTACGACGGGTACGACGGGTAAGGCAACCCCTCATGGGTTGCGCAAAGAGCCTTGAGGAACGAAGACTGAAGATTGGAGAGACAAACAAGACGAAGACAGAGGGCGAGAGAAAAGAACGCAAGCAGGCGGTAGCGCTAGGAACTAAAGCATGCAAGAAGGTAGGCAAAGAAATCGGCCATTCGGGCACCATCCCGCAGCGGGGAAGAGGCAGAAAAAGCAAGAAGGCAAGTAACGCGATGATAACGGTTGCGGGGTAAGAGAGAGGAAGGAGTATAAGAGAGGCGCCAAGGCACAAACAGGAGACAAGAAGGGTCTACCCTAGCTACCGATCGAGCAGTTAGGAAAACAACTACAGCATGGCCACTTGCAACATTTCCGTGGAGTTCTGGTGCGAATTCAGCCACGGAGCTCAAGTACAAGCATAGCATCCCGAAGACGCTCGTGACGCAGGTAGGCCAGGCGAGGCCGAACGACGAAGCCAGCGCACGGTTCCTACAGTGGATAAGGCCGATCCTACGGGAGCACGAGGCAGCGTGTCGGAAGGCATCAGGGGCGCGCTGCGAGAGCTGCGGCGGACTCGCAAAGGACATTCTACAGAGCCCGATATCGTACCTACACGCAGAGGCCGTTTGTGCTCGTGGTCGTGTCGTCGTTCTGCGGCAAAGAAGGATGCGAAATCAGGGCGAGGCAGGAAATGCAGGACACGATGGCAGAGACGGGGCAGGCGGGCGGAAACATGGGCGCACAGCAAATGCAAGGGCAGGATCGGCAGAGCACAGAGGGGAAGGTCTGCCGGGTGTGCGGAGAGACGGCGGGAGCGAGGAGGTGCAGCCGATGCCTGGCGGTCGCGTACTGCAGCAGGCAACACCAAAAGGAGGACTGGAAGGCGCACAAGAAGGGATGCAAGCCAAAGGAAAGCTAGGGAGCTAGGGAGAGGAAGCAAGCAACGCCGCAGAGGCGGGCTTACGGCCAGCCTCATACGGCCGCTAACCGCCGCAACGGCCTTTGTAGAAACTACCGCCGACTTCAAGAGACAGAACGCCAACCGAGGTCGACGACGGCCTGCAAGACCGCCTCTCCACCCGTCTGAACGGAGAGTCTAACAGTAGTAGCATCGCCGCGACCCTCGTCCCTATGGCTTGCACAACTAAGGAACGGCATATAAGATTTTACAGTAGAAAACCGTATCCTCCATGTAGAGCAATGACCGATAGGCGAGAAGCAGAGTCGGCTTCCGCAACAAAGACGCCATTTGCCGAGGCGCAACTACAGCCCCCTCGTCGCTGCTAAACGCAGCCGAGAGGTGCGGCGGCAAGCTGGCAAGGAGAGAGGAGGGAAAGGGAGGGAAGGGAAAGAGAAGGGACGAGGCGCAACGCTCAGGACATAAACGAGATAACGGAGAACGTCTAGAGGCGGGCACTTTGTAAGAAACGGGTTCGTTAGCTAAAGCTGTCCCTTTAACAAAGGGACAAACATTGTAATGTGTAGATTAATAGTAATTTTGCAGCGACAAGTTGCGTTAGGAATAGCATCCCGAAAGGGAAACGGTTCATTTTAGTACAGGCAGGAGGCGTAAGAGAGCGACGGGTTTATAGCAGGCAACTTATTTCTGCATGCGATAGCGGAGAGGGCGAGCGGGCGGGTCGGAGGTGCTCGCTATGATAGAGTCGAGAGGGCAACCCGGGCTGGCCGTCGGAGCGGGAGCGGGCGGGGCGCCGTCTGGTCGAGACGAAGAAGCAGCTGACGGGGGAGAGGAGGAGGGGGCGGCGGAGCCGACGGTGTTCGATGACGAGGAAGGCGGCGAATGCTGCAGCTGCAGCAAGCGCGCCCTCTTCATGGGCGTATCGGCAAGGGCCGGGTGGGAGCGCTTAGGAGGCGGCGTGACGGGGTCGAGGGCGATCGGGGCCGACGCCGAGGAAGGGGGGACCGATGCGGCCGAGGCCGGCGCAGCAACGGAGTAAAAGGCGGCGCGGATGGAATCGAAGGTAGAGGAGGCGGATTGGGTCTGAGGCCTAAAGGGCGTAGTGAGGGGGGAGGCCGAGGCGGCGGCGGCGGCCGAGGGTCTATCGACAAAGGTCCAGCTGTCCGGGACGACGATAAAAACGTAATCGCGCTCTGAGCCCGGGGGACAGAGCATAACGCGGTGGTCGAGAATGCCGACGACCTTTCCGGTGCAGGTAAAGGGGACGCCGGGTATGAAGGAAGAGTTAGGCTTTTCAGCGATTTTCTTGCATAGCACGGCCCAAGGGTTAACGTAGATGGGAAGATAACAAAGACCTCGAAGGGGTGGTAGCCCTTAAAGGGAATCCTGTCCGGCAGGCCAGGGGCGATGTAGGTCGTGAGCCGGACGAAGCCGCAGCAGCGGAGCTGGTCGGGCCCGAGACCGGGCAGGAAGTCTGGACGTAGGAGGTCGAGGCCAGGCCCGGCTACTACGCCATGGAAAGAGACGACGGGAGGCGTAGACGGGAACTGGCTGCCAGAGGCCAAGAAGCGCGGCAGGACGCTAGGGGGCAAAGTCAGCGGGGCGGTGGGTGAGGAGGCGCATTAAAATGAAAAGGGGAGGGGGGCCCACGGCTGGTAACCTCGGTCGCGGACGATAAGGGCGGGCACGGTGTAGAGAATAGTATCGTCCGGGCCGGCCTCGAGCCCGTCGCGGCGCTCCACCTCCCAGGAGAGGGCGTAGGGGTGAACGCGGCCGCTCATAAAGAACCACTGCTCGGACCAGTCGGTATCGACGACCGGCTGGCCGTAGATGGAGAGGTTTAGGCTAAAGAAGAGAGAGGGCCCTAGAGCGTCGCCCTCGGCCCGGAGGGGTGCGTACTCTGACTCTAGCAGCCACGAGGGCACCGGCAGGAGGACGCGGGCGATGGCCTCGGCGTTAAGGCCCCTAATGCGGTGCTCGTCCTGATGGGCGAACCTCGCGGGGCAGTCAGGCTGGGCGAAAAACATCATGGACATGTCGCCGCCCGCGCCCTTGCTAGTGACAAGGGGCTTGCGGAGGTGCGGGGCAGAGCGGTCCGCCGACGGAGACGAAGACATGGCGAGGCCGTGTAGTGGAAGAGCAACGTTGACGGAGCGAAGCTAGAAGCGGCGAGGAATAGGGGCAGGAGTGCTCCCTACCAATATGCCGTCTTAAGAGTTTAGTGTAGTAGGGAAGGGCTAATGGCTGTGGTGTATAAGAGAAGTCGAAGGATCCTAAACGAAGAAGCAACGTAGCGTTAGCGGTAGGCTAAGATAAGGAGCCTAAATAAAGGAGGTCTATAAGATGCGTATACAGAACAATGCGACAAGAGGAGAAGAGGAAACTTCGAAAGGCGGTCTAGTAAGACGTAGAGGGTTTTAAGACAAGCAGGACGCGCGAAGCTATGTTCGAGGAGAAGGAGGCAGGCTTATTCGCAACACGTGTAAGACATGGGTTCAAAATTCAGCAGGCGAGCGTCTGGGTGCGTACTGAGGCTTTGACCGACAAGACCTAGATGACAAGACGGAAAAGTGTACCATGCAAAGCACAGGCAAGAGGAAGCTGTCTTGGCGACCTACATGTAAGGACCGGCCGAGGCCGTATAGCCCGCCGCCTTTAGCGGCGGGCAATAGCGGGCGGGCTCGATAGAAAGGCGGCGCCGGTATAATGTAAAGAGCAGCGGCACGCCTGTAGACGTACTAGAGAGCTACGAGTAAGATATATAGACTTTCCTAGAGGATCCTGTACGCACAGGAGGGGTGCCAGTCAGCAAGACAAGTGCAGGATGAATGGCCGAGGCAAGGACTTATACGCCGTTATTACACTTACGAGGATTTACGCCGGGAGCCCAGTAGCACCGCAAGTAGGCGGGGCCGAAGAGGGCAGCGCAAGCGAGGAAGACAAGAGGTCCGCGGGGCCTCGGTAGACCGGTGTCGCGATGAAGCCAGCTAACGGGAGGGTCCAGTCCGGAGCGGGTGACAGGGCAAGCCCGGCGCCAGAAGCCCGAGCAGCGCCGTACACAGGACCAGAGATCCGGCCGATCACAGCAGCGCCGGCACTCGGTCGCGGCGCCTCTCGGAGAGAGCAAGAAGAGGCGTCAAGGGGGGCGCCTCCGAGGCGAGGGCGGGGAAGACCGCCAGGACTAGGGAAATGGAGGATCAGCGCAGGCCGAGTCGCGCCGCGGGATATCCAGCCTCAGCCGACACCGAGTGCGGCGGCAACTTGGCTGCCGTCGACACCGAGGGCGGCGGGGCACTGGCTGCCGCTGGGCGGGTCCAGCGCCGTCTCGGCCTCAGGGAAAAACCAGTGCGCACCGAGAGAAATCCGGCCTCTGCCCTCGCCGCCGCAGACGAGAAGTTCGGACGCTCCACGGGACATTCGGCCCCAGCCGACATGGAGGGCCGCCGGGCCTTCGCCGCCGTCGAGCGGGACTAGCCCGGCCGTAGTCTCGGCCGGAAGCCAGCACGTGCCGCGAGCCATCCAGTCCCGGCCGGCTACCAGGGGCGAGGCCCCCGCCACAACTCCCCCCGCAGCCGGGCCGCTTGTTAGCGGCAGAGATAGCGCACCGGCAGGTACGGTCGTTGAGCGAGGTGAAGGCGTGTGACGGTGATAGCTAACCGGACGCAGGTAGAGCGGCGATAAGACGCCAGGCGAGAGAAGAGCAGAAGAGGAAACGCCATCTTAGTAGTGGGCAGGCCGGGCGGAAACGCGCCAGGGTGGGTGAAAAGATGCCAAGACGAAGGGAGCTGCAGGCCGAGGACCTAGCCAGCGCGCTACGGCACCTCGACGAGGAGTTCGAGGCGGGCGAGAGGCTGGCCAACGAACAGACGTGGTGCGCGCCGGTGCCGCGCGAGAGGCAGGTGAGGACGGTGCGGAGGTTCTACCGGGCGTTCCACGACGCAGGCACGCTGCCGATCGCGACCTGCACGCTATGCTACCGGAAGCGGGCCAAGGGGGAGCTGAGGGAGATGGCGTGGGAGGGGTGGTCGCGGAGCAGTGTTGCGGGGGGCGGGCGGTCCCGGTTCGGATGCGGAAGCTGCTTCCCGGAGGGCAGGCCGGTGCCGGTCTGCGTAGAGTGCGCGCGATGGGCCGGGCGCGAGGGGGCGTCGCCGGCCATGTACCTCCACGGGCGGCTCGGCTGCGAGCACGCGTACCCCGACGAGCTGAAGGACCTCACGCCGCTCGAGGAGAAGCTCATCTCACTCAACTCGTGCTACGGCTTCGTGACGAAGTACAGCATCCCGGGCGGTCAGAGGCAGAGCGTGAGGTACCCGAGGCACGTCAAGGGCCACATTACCGTGTTCCCAAACGACGTGCAGGGCCCAGCCGCTAGGTGCTGCCGCACCCGCTGCTCCGGGTCATGGACGAGATCCACGTCTCGTGGCAGGGTGCCGAGAGGCCCGGGCCGCGCGACCTATCGGGCCTGCTGTCGGTAAGGCGGTCGGCGGTGGAGATGCGCTAGCCTGGCTCAAGGAGAACAATCCGCTCTACGGCGAGGTCGAGATCGACGCGGCGGAGATGGCCAGCTGGGGCGCCGCCGCACGGTGCCGCCAGTGGTGTGCGAGCGGCTAGAGCGAAGCGAGCCGTCGGCGCGGGAGAGGACGCGGACGGCGCAGGTGGTGCCGCCGTCGGAGCGGGCCATGGACGACGAGGTGCGGTCGAGATCGAGGAGGTCCTCGCGATGCTGAGGCAGGGGCGGGACCCCACCGAGGGGAGCCGGGACGTCGGGCTCACGTGCGAGGACGACGACGGGGACGGCGCTAGGCCCGAAGAGGACGGGGACGTAATCAACGAGGTGACGTCTTCCGGCATGTTCCCGTTGGACGGGGCGCCAGAGGTGGCCGATGCTGAGAAGATTCGCTTCGCCCGCGGTGCCGTCGGGCCCGAGGAGCGCGCGCCGGCCCGAGGACGGGGTAGGGACTGCGGCCCGAGGGGCGGAGGGCGATGGCGGCGACGTCGAGCCGTACATACAGGTGCGGCGCGGCGAGGATTTCGCCGACTCGGCGGACGCCTCCTTCTTCGCAAAGGCCTTTCCGACCCTGTTCCTTTGGCTTAGGCGGGCCGAGGCTCGCCGACGAGGACGCCACTGGGAGAGCGCGGGCCCAGCGTCGGGAACCAGGGCACGCAGGCGGAGCGGGTCGCGGAGGGCCTTATGTCGACGCGGAACATGAAGCTCCAAGCATGGGAGAGCCGGCTTAGTATGCGGAAGAAGATACTCTCCCTCATCATAAGGCACGGGGTGCCGGCCATCTGGTTCACGCTGAACCCGAACGACATTACAAACCTGGTAAAGTTGCGGCTAGCGGCACACCGCAGCCGCGACCCGGACGAGGCCGAGGCCTTCCTACGAGACCTAGGGACCGCGTATAAGCGGACGCGGCTGGCCATATCGGACCCGATGAGCTCGGCCGTCTTCTTCCACCGGGAGATGACGCTCTTCTTCGAGCACTACGTCAACGTCGGGGAGGAGTCGGTGTTCGGCCACGTCGGCGCGTACTACGGCGCGGTTGAGACGAACGAGCGAGGCGCTCTCCACATCCACGGGCTCCTCTGGCTAAGGGGCAATCTGCGCCGGCGCGACGCAGATCCACACGCATAGCGCGACCTGCGTAAAATACTCGCTCGGCGCGGGGGCGCGGAAGGGGACCTTTGCCGGTTCAAGGCGCCGTGGAGGCTGGTGGAGAGGACGGCGCTGACGGCGGACGGGGTGCTCGAGATCCGGCGGACGCATAGCATGGTGAACCGGTGGAACCGGGCGGTGGACAAACTGGTCATCTCCGTGCCCTCGATAGGCTTCTACGTCCTGCCTCACCAACATGGGAGGTTTGTGACATCGAAACTCAATACAACGGCGCAGGCCGTTGCGATGAACAGGCGCAAGGCGAGATTGCGGAGTCACCTGCAGCAGATGCACATCCGGTGCTCGCACCCAGCGATCTTCATGACTCTTCCTCTTGCAGCGACGGGAAGGAGAATCGTCCTCTTGGACTTTTATTTCAGGTCGCCGTATCCGACACTTACCATCGAGTAGAGGCCAACGGTTCCATCGATAACGGACAAGACGAACGAATTGAACTGGGGTTCGGCCTTCCCCTTCGCAGGCCTGTTCAAATCACCTTGAAGTTCTCCCAGCGTTCTCCTCCAGGCTCGTCACGATGCACCAGACAGCACGAGAGGAGGAACCATGATGAAATCCCGGAAGGAAGGATGCATGGCTTCGATCACCTGAGCAAAGATGTCAAGCTCCTAGGCAAAGGTACAAGAGGCAGCGTGCTCACAAATTTCGGAGGAGCAAGCGACCGGCCGTGGAAGAGTGTTGAATTTGAATATCTTTACCAGCCCATAGAATGGTAGCGGTCCCTCGATGCCTCCCCTATGAATCATTGATTCCACAAGCTAGCATCAACACCCTCAGTTGCTTTCATGCAAGACTTGTCGGGGAACTGCCTCATATTGACCGATTCATGCGATGTGTGCCGGTGGTTCAATACGTTTTCGCCTGTAAATGCCCCCTGCGGCCTTTCCAGCACGAGTTCCAATCTGAGAGAGTCAGTCAACTCGGCCGTGAGCATGCTGCGGCGAGTCGTTCGTGACGATAGAGTGCCGGGGCTCTCCCACGGTCGCATGTAGCTGGATATGTTGAACATTGGATCGAAGCGTCCCGCTGCTGCGCTTGTCTGAGGTTGGTTGTTGCTCTCTTGCACTTTCTAGCATACGCGTGCGGCGTAGTTTGTCAAGATCGGAACGCTCATTCACTGTGCTGCCTAACAGGCAGCAAGCAGTTCGTAATGCCATATTAGTGATGGATTCGAACCTTCTAGGTGACGTCGTCATCTATGCTGCCTGGGTGGCAACATCGCCACTCAGCCCAAAATCACAAGTATACCGGTACCCCTTCAATGTCGCACAGATAGATAGAAAACATGCATCATCGTTTGGACTCAATTGTGCCTGCCCTTATCCTTCCGCCCGCGCTCTCAGCTTGCTGAGACAGACATTTGGCTCCACACGGGTCAGAGATGGCATCAGGCAATTGATGAGAATTATCTAAAGAACAAGAAGTGAACGAACGAACGCACGGAGTTGTGCAGCTCTTTATACGCAAATGAAAGGTCCGTCGCGTGATTACGCAGTAGTGGTTGCCTAGCAGGCAACAGCGGCGTTGCGAGTAACATCGCCACTTCATGAATAATCATCCTAGGCAGGCTTGATATGCGACACACCCCCCAGCGTTGAGTGATCAAGTCAACGCTGCTAGTGGTGTCTCTACGCTGGCGCGCAGGGTCGTGACACTACCCCCCGTCTAAGGCCTTGATATGCGTATCAAGGTAGTCAGTCGTGGCGGCGGGTTCTTGGTTTCACGGCTTTCTCTGCTGTGTCATCATCGTCTCGTTCCTCGCAGCCCTCCTCCGCTGCAGCACATTCGATCCAGTATTGCAGGTTGACGGGTGGGCCTGCTGCGTCCGGATGTTCATCGTGGAATACCTTCAATGCTATTGGTGCGTTACGGAAATTCCTAGCCGGGTACCAGGTCTCATCAGGGTCACATCCCTTCCATAAGACCTGGTATTCCAGTCGTCGACTCTTACCGGTTACTCGAGACTGCTGGACTTGATCAACCTCCCACTCGGGTTCTCCGTTGATCTCCTCGGGTGGCGGAGGTGTCTGGATCTGCTGGGGCAAGGGGTTATCGGCTGCTTTTCGAAGACGGTCGGCGTGGAATAGGTTCTTCATTTTGTACGACTCGGGCAGCTGCAGTACGTAGCTATGACCGCGTTCTTCCAGGATTACGAACGGACCTGACCATTGGTTATCTAGCCGAGTAGTCGGAGCGTTCGTGGCGAAGCCTTTCCTGCTGAGAAAACTCGGTCACCGATGGCAAAGTCGGTTGGTCGTCGTTTCCTATTAGCCTGTTCCTTCTGACGTTCTTGAGCGGCGGTGGCAGCATTCCTGGCGTCTTCCTGGGTTTCCTGGGCGGTCTGCACAAGTTCCCTAGCTCTGGCGGCGGGTCCGGTGGCAGCGGTCTTGTCAGTCGGTGGCAGTGACAGGGGGTTCCGGATATCTCGGCCTAGGGCTACTTTTAACGGGGCCATGTCGATGGAAGAGTGCCAAGACGAGTTATGGGCGAAGTCGAGGGCGGGCAGCAGGGAACTCCAGTTGTCTTGATGCTTCGTCACGTAGAATCGTAGCTTTTGATCCAGGTATTGATTTGTGACTTCTACACCCCTTGGGTCTGAGGGTGTAGGAGCTTCCATGACGATGCTTCGTTCCCGTGAGCCGGTTAATCTCCGCGAGGAAGGCAGAAATAAACTGTCCAGCGTTGTCAGAAATCCATACGAGGGCATACCGAAGAAACGATAGAGGTAGCGGAAGTAGCGGCTAGCTAAGACTTCTGCCGTATCGTTTTCTTTCCTGGGAGCGTGGCGATAATCCGGCTTAGCTTGCAGACGAAGGTCCAAACATAGTCATATCCGTAACGGTCTTTCGGCATATCCTTCCCGTCACATTCGACGTGCTCCCAAACAGAAGTCGGCACGGGCAGTGGATGGAGCAGTCCAGGGGTCTTGTCTCGAGGGGTTTTGTTGCGGCGGCAGTCGTGGCAGTTCCGAATATAACGACGGATATCCTCCTTCATCCTTGGCCAGTAGAAGTCTCGTTGGAGCAGCTTGATCACCTTGTTCTGTCCGGCGTGAGCGAAGATCTGGGGCTCGTGGGCTTCGCGAATGAGCGCGGTCTGAAGAAACGTCTGCTTGTCTGAGGTCTGGGCTGGTACGATCAGGTGTGTTCCATGGGTGCCGAGGTCTTGGAGGAGGTTCTCTTGGCGGATCAACGAAACGAGTTCGGCTCCCTTCGGGACCGAGTTCGGGTCTAGTTCTGGGCGGTCTTGATCGGGCGTCTGCTGTATCCCTTGGTCTTCTGGGGTCTGTAGGGCACCCGTGGCCCTCAGAACTAATGGTCTAGTAGGCTTAGGTTCGGGACTAAAGTTCTGAGGGGCAGGTGGCCGGCGGCCGTAGGGTCTAGAGAGTCGGTCGCGAAGCCTAGCCTTTCCGGAGGGATCAGGGTCACCGTGCGTTCCTCGGCTTCCCGGCCTTTACGGTAGGAAGCTCGGCTGTCTTCCTGAGAGGGCATCGGCGACTACGTTCAGTCGACCGGGGCGGTAGAGGAAACGGATGTCGAACTGGGCGAGAAAGTCGGACCATCTGATCTGTCGTACCGAGAGCAGGCGCTTCGTAGAGAAATGGACTAAGGCTTCGTGGTCGGTGATCACATCGAACTTCTGGCCTAAGAGCTCTGGGTAGAAGTGCTCTAGACTCTGTACGACGGCGAGGAGCTCGATCTTGGATTGGGTAGGCTCGCTCGGCCGGGGTCATGGTCCTAGAGAAGAATCCAACGGGCTTCCAGGTCTGATCAGGCTGTTCCTGCCATAGAACACCAGCTGTGGCATTCCGGGAGGCATCGGTCTCCAGTCGGGTCGGCAGTTCTGGTCTAAAGAAGGCGAGGACCGGGGCTTCGATAGCCAGGCGCTTGAGTTGATCAAATGCTTCGCGTTGCTCCGGGCCCATCACAAAGGCAACATCCTTCTTAAGCAACCGGTTCAAGGGTTCTGCCACTCCCGAGGCGTGGTAGCAGAAAACACGGATGAAGTTGCATAGGCCAACGAATGATCGGATCGCGGTGCGGTCTCGGAGGTCTTCAAACTTCCAGTCTTGTATCGATCGAACTTTCCGAGGGTCGACACTAAGGCCCACACCGGCTTCAAGCAGAACGCCGAGGTAGTCAACCTTGGTCACGTTAAATCTAGACTTCTTGATGTCTCCCTGGAGGTTGGCCTGATGGAGTCGCCAGATCACTTCTTGACAGTCTTTCCAGTGGTCTTCTTCTTTATCCGAGTAGATCAGGACGTCATCTGCGTAGGCGCTGGCGCACCGGTCGAGGAGATCGTGAAGCTGCGCGTTGATAAACTGCTGGAACCAGGCGGGACCTACCTTCAGACCGAACGGGAGGACTTTCCAGCGGAAAGTTCCGAAACGGGTGCGAAAGGCGGTCAAATACTCGAGTCAGGGTCCATGCGGAGACGGTGGAAGGCCTGGATCACATCGATCTTCGTAAAGCGTTGAGCTTCACGGCAACCGAAAGCAGTACCTTCGAGGGACGGAGCGGGCGTGATGCGACTTTTAAGATGATCGTTCATCCAACGGTAGTCGATGCAGAAGCGGCGGGCGGTCGTGTTCGGTTTCGGAGCGAAGAGGACGGATGCGGCGTGCGGACTCGGATCGGGCTCGATGAAGTCTATCTCCGGAGGTGATCGACAGTCTCTTTCTCTAGAGGCAGATACTTAACGGGCGTGCGGTACGATGGGGTCCTGTCGGCGAAAGAGGCTTCTCAAGCTCTAGGACTACATCGTGACCGGGTCGGCTCGAAGGTAGGGTGTGGGCCTCTTTCTTCGAGAAGAATCCTCTAGATGGGTGAGCTGGGGCGGTAGACGACTACGGACACAAGCAACATGCTCAGGGTCTTCTCCTGAGGAACGGAATGCTTTGTCCCTGGTAGGTCTTCTGATCCGGGAGACTTTAGCAATGGTTCGAGCACTAGGGACGGTCTGGTCAAGGCCGGAGCTTGGCTCGAGCTGGACTGGATCCCGGGCATCAACGGTTCGAGTTCGTTCCACTGTTCGAATCTCTCGTGAGACTCTACTTGGCAGACCAGAGCGTTAATCAGGGCTTGATCTTCGGAGGCTTGGACCGAGGCGACGGAGACGAAGTCGGTAGCAGGGGCGGTCGTGAGCTGAAAACGGACAGACTTCTTGGCAGACGGAGACTTGGACTGAAACGACGGAGACGGAGTCGGTAACGGGTCGGGACAGAGGCCGGAGGAGCTTGATCAGAGCGGCGCCAGTTCTTGTGGAGGATCCGGTAGCGTTTCTCCTCTTTCTCGAGCAGGCGGTTCCGCCTCTCAGCGTCGGCCTGGATCTTAGGGGCGATCCGACCCGAGCGGGGCTTGACGAGAGAGCTGGATCGTCGGGGAGAACTTGGCGAGGGCAGGAAGATCATCTGGCCAGATGATCTGTCGGGCGGCGCAGTCAAGCAGGAGGCGCTTCTCCCGCATCCAGAAAAGACCGATAAAGATATCATGGCCACACTCAGCTATATCAAATGTCTCGTTTGCGAACGAACGGCCATCGATGACGAAAGTGGCGACCAGCTGTTTCTGGATATAGCCGGCTGGCTTTCCACGGAAGTCTTGGGGAATCCGACTCGGGAGCTCCTTAATCTGGGCTCCGAGTCTTTGGGCGGCGGACTGGGCGAAGGTTGGGCTAACCAGCAAACGGGTTTCGGCTCCGGTATCACAGAGGGAGCGGGCAGGTAGGCTCACACCATCCACTTGGACTTGACTTGGCTGAGTGAATGACTTGCTAGACCTACTCGCTATCTGTGACACCTTAGGGACCATCAAGGAGACTTGTGATGGTCCTATTCGTTTCCCGAATCTTGATCAGAGTCGTTGGCAGGGACAGGGACGGAGGCGACACGGGAGACAGCATGGGTGCGGTCGGGACACTCGCGAGAGAGGTGCCCTGTTTTTCCACAAATAAAGCAGGTGCCATTATCCCAATGGGCCCTTTTCTCATCGTCGGTCAAGGCTCTGCCAGCATCACGCGAGGTGATAGGGTCGAGCCGGTCTTGTTCGGAGTCTTGGCGGTAGTCGGAGCAGTCTTAGTCGGCGCGCGGCGAGATCGGTCGGAAGAGCGGGAGTCCTGTGTCTGCCTCATACTCCTCTTCTGGCAGTGGACAGCGTCCTTAATGAACCCACAGAAAACCTCGTAGGTCACGGACTCGTCACGGGTCTTGGTCAAGAGGCTGTTATCTAGGTTGGCCGGGATGTGCTGCCACAAGGTATGCTTCATCTGGTCCTCGGGCACACGACCGGTCGCAGTTAAGTAGTCAAATTCCGCAAGAAAGTCCACAATGTCGGTCTTCCCATTCACGGTAAACTGGAGGCGTTGCAGGCGGTCAAGAGCCTGAAAGCTCATTCGGATTGCCATAGGCGGACTCAAGGGCTTGGATCATCTCTGCCACTCCAGAGAAGGGTCGAGTGTCAGAGGAGAAGCGGGTTTCAAGTGCTCGGCGGGCTTTTCCCTCGAGCAGGTTATACAGACAGACCATCCGGCTGTTCTCAGTCCGGAAGGTTCGTACGTCTTCGTCAAATTTGTTCTTTATGCTCAGGATGAAGGAATGGAACTCGTCCTTCTTCCCTGAGAACGTCGCGGAGACCTTGATGCGCGATTTGGCGGCGTCGCTGTACTCGGGGTTCTTGCCCTCTGGGAAGGGGCAAAAACAGGCCAGGCAGCTTTGCCTGTTGGTCGGAAGGCCGGGCCATTTGGGCCGGCAAAAGCAGTCGAGGGCTCCCGGTGCTGTCGATTTGATTCAACAGACGGAGAGCGTTCATTTAGACGGGCCGTTAAGGCCGCAATCTGTCCCCTCATCTCGCGGATGAGAGCGTCTTGGGGGCTCGGGGCAGCCATGGCTGCTATTTCGGATTCAGTGGCTTGGCCAGCAAGCCGGGCAGAACGGCGAGGCTGATCAGAGGGCAGGGCTTCCTCGGATATCATAGTCTCGAGGTCAGAGTCTAGGGTCGGAAATGATACCACGCGGAATCACGGTCAGATGCCTGCACGAGCAGGGACGGTCGGAGGTCAGACGGGACGAATCCCTTGGTCGGAACGGTTGGTCGGACGACTACACACACGCGTAGTCTTGGTCGGAACGGACGTGATCTCAGCCTTGAGGATCACTTGGTCGGTGGTCGGAGTCTTGGTCGGAACGGTCAGAACGGATGCGCTGGATTTACGTCAGGCGCGTGTGACGTGAAAGCTCGGTGCCTATTTGCTTAATCGCTGGCAAGCGATCTTATTGAGCTTTGAGTAGTGTTACGGCCAGGCACATACGAGCCTTGACGGCTATAAAGATGTATTGGCACTATGAACGAAGACTCAAAGCTAAGGAGCAAGAAAGAAGGACTAGACTACACGACCGAGCTGGCCCTTATGTGCATATGCACGAGGTTACCTCAGCAGCGCTCAGGTAAGCACGAGGTCGCACGTGGGCACGTGATGCTGCTTGGGCACGCGACACTGGTGAGGTTCTGCGCTGGTGTCTCTACGCTGGCGCGCAGGGTCGTGACAGGGAAGAGGGGTTCTTTCTCAAGGTTGCAACTTTGCCACCGGAAGTTACAGAAACAGTTCTGTTTCTCCCGGGCTCATAACTCTCGCGAAGGAGAGAGCAAAAGTGGGCATAGAAGTGGATAAAGGGACTTTTCGAAGGTCGAGTATCATATAATCAGATGGTATAGTATACATTCTATCAGGAAGAGGGCACTTCTTGCCACTTACTGAAGGCCACGTAAGTCATCTACGTCAGCAACATCAGCTCCATCTCCCCGATCGAATAGCTCTTCTAGCTATGAAATCGATAGTTCAGTCTCTCGAGGTCCCCGAGCCAGTAATAGTTATGCCGGACTCCTCAAAGGGTCCCCGTTCGAATAGGAGATCCTCCGGACCCCTCAGTGGTCTAGGAAGAAGAAACAACAGTCTGCAGACTTCCCTTCTTACCTGGTTTCAAGCTGTATTACCTAGAGAGACCTAGAGACCTCAACTCGTTCGGACCTTCTTCTCGACACGAGCGGCCATCCTTGCATCTGCGGTGACGGTCGTACCATTGGCTCGACGTGGGCATGCTGGTGGTCGATGACATTGTTAAATGTCTGGAATTACCGTTTCTCTTCCAAGGGACTGATCGGCATGAAAGGAAAGATGGGAAAAGAGAAGACTGAGGAACGACACGGCTTTTATATGGGCCACGTGGAGCAACAAGAGGACGGCGCCAAACCCGATCTGGGGCAAAGCCCTGAGCAACCGAAAGGTTCTTAAAATGACGGACCCAGTACAAAAATTCCGCCGTCGTGCCTAGGCAACAGAGCGCACTATACCTAATCTATATAAGTCGCATGCACTCCTCAAACACATGCCCTAAGTGCCGTGTCATGGATTACCATGCTTACCCCCTTCTGCTCACCCCCAAAAAACCCCCGATTTTTGAATTGCTTACATTTCAGCGAATTACAGAGATAAAGTATGAAAGCTACTCTGACGAAGAGAGCATGCAAGTGAGCATTGATTGTTTTAATAATAGGTGTTTTTTTTTGTTGTGTTCCGTCGTGTCTGTCCCTCTTGCAATGCCTTCTTCTTGGCTCCCTATTTATATCCCTTGGTTCCCTATTGATATCCCCTTTTCAGTTGTATAGGTACAATATCTAGGAGGCTGGGCTCCTTTCCCCAGCCCCACCTTTGCATACTGACTTTCCTTAGTCGCCGAGGGCTCTTTCAGCTTCCCCCGTATATGCAGTCTCTCTACAGCCTATGTGGCTGCCTAATGCGGTCTCCTAATAGCCTTCTGCAGCCTCAGAACTCTCTGCAGGCTGCCTCTCTGTCTAGCCTGTCGGGGCCCTTAGCTGTATACCCCTTATGGTCACCCCGAGCTCAAGATCTCAGACGTGCTTCGCGACAGCTACATCATTTGGAAGAGAATTGAACATACTAATTGGTTCTTGGTCTTCATATGACGCGACTCTGTCGGGTGGTGCGCTGGGGAGGCCCAGATATGTTGACTTCAATCACCGAAGCTGTCTCCGTCTCCGACTCCACCTCGCAATCCACCACAAAAGCTTCCTTTGGACTCCCAATTCCGGGAACAATCTTTGTCCGCCGCCGCGCCTTCGTGGAATTCGCCATGGGGACAAGAACTTTCGCGCATCGTCTTGTTGAGACCTGGTTCTGGGCATCTCTCGCTGACTCGCTGAGGACAGACGGCCGTGACAATGCGCACGTGCGAGGTGTGGGACACTACTGTCTGACAGCTTCCTCAGCGACAACCTTCGCTGCCTGCGAGCGTAGAGAATCTTTACGACCGACATCAGAAAAATGGGGGGACGAGACCGACATTTGATCGGCTCTTGACCTTTGAAGATGTCCGAGCGTGCGTCTTGGGAACGGAGCACACAAAGGAGATGCAGTTGTGATGCCGAGACCCGCCGTTCATTGTAGGGATAGGTGAATCATGTGATGAACTGAGAAGTTCGGGGGAGAAGGTTGGGTACAGAAAACGCGGGGTGTCGCTCCTAGACCCTTCCGCCCATCATGGGTGCCTGAGTCCCGTTACCGTACCTGCGGCCGATTCTGGCCTCACAACAGTGCAGCAAGTCCTCGTCTTGGGCGACTGAGAGCACCCTCGCTTCTGGCCGCTTGGTATTACTGAGCTGCAAGGGCTGCAACCCCTTCATGATACGCAAAATCGTCTTCACTGCGGCCAGAAAGTGAGCTGGCGCCGAGTAACATTGCTGCCCCCCCCCCCCAGGCAGCAGCGGAAGGGTCTAGGAGTGACACCCCGAGATTCCTCGCCCAACCCGTTCCCCCGCAACTCGTCTCTATAACAGTTGGCAATCTGGTCATGCCAGCCCTCCGCCAACCACTTTGATTTCACCATCACTCTACCGCGGGGTTGCAACGATTCTCCTCTCACAGACCAGCGTACCGGTATAACATGGAAACAGGTTCTGACGAAGATAGCGCATAGTATGACCAGCGCGTCTTTCTCCTGCCAATCCATCCGAAATTGGTCATGGACGAACCGATCCGCTTGCTTGGCAGTCCTCGTCGAGATCTCTGGCCGTGTTCGTGGCCGCCCCTTGGTCTTTGGAGAACCTGCAGGTGGAATGGATTGCGCTACTATTGATCCGCGCTGCGGCAGTCCCCGACGTCGCCGTGATCAGCAGGCGATTCGAAAGGCTCCTCCTGCTGAACAACTCGACGAGTGCCTCGATGATTTGCGACTTGCCAGTCCCGCCCTCGCCGCCGACGAACTGGCAGAGCTGGCCGACATCGCCTCCGTCGTTTTGTCGCATCAAATCGAGCTGGCGGCATATGATTGAGAAAGCGATCGACGCCCGTCGCAGAGCAAGAGGTTGATAGTCCAAATTGGACATGCATTCCCGCCTCTGCGTCGCCTGCGGTCTCGTCGAAGTCGGCCGTCGCCATTTCGACATTGTCCTCCCCGAAGCCGGCCATGACCCTCCGCAACGCAGCGCGGCGGTCGCTTTCCCGGACCACGGTTACTTTGCATGCTCTGGATCATCCTCTCCCTCTCCTTCGAGGCACTCATCTGCTGCGACTTGGCGGCCCTGGCCTGATTCTGCTGTGACAGTGCGGCCCGGAAAATACCCTACATGCTTATCCATCTCGCCCTCGTTCGGGTACCACGGCGGCCTCCGGCTCGGCCGTCGAGCACAGCGCTGATTGTTGGAACTGATAGAGCTGTTGCATCATCTCCATGAGCTCCGGCGGCTTGGTCGTTATCTGGTTCGGGTCTCATGCACCTCGGACGTCGATCAGCCGCGCTGCGTTTCCGATGCTATTAGACTGATACGTCGCTGTAGATTCTGCGCCCGCCTCGTCCGCCCCATCCTCCTCCACGTGTGCGACAGTCGGATGGCCATTTCCAGATGAGGATGCCCATTGCCTGGCGTCCCGTTTTGCGTCTTCGACTGATCGTCGAAGCAGCTGCACGTTATCGACGAGACATGAAATTCTCGGAGACAGCGCCTCTCTCGTGTCAATCGATCTTGGTGAGCCGCGCGCACGAGTTGGTCGCGTGAGCGCCTGGTTTATAGTTGCCGTGAAGGGTCCGGAAGAGTTCGCGCACCTCTCCGGGTGCCTGCAGTCGTTATCGTAGTAGTCTTTCCCGCCACGTCGTCGGCAGGCCTGTTTTCGGTCGCAGGCGTAGCGGGAGTGCTAATCCCAATCTTGGCGATCGATCAGTCGGGCTAAAGGGCTGCTGCCCAAGGGCCGCGATCTCTGTATTGCCGCCTCGAAGGACACAATCATCGTCACAGTAGGCTGGTCGGAGCTTTCGGAGTGTCTCTTAACAATGTGGAGCATCAATTGGTTCGGCGCCTCTCTGGGGCTCGGTCTCTTCTTTGATAGCTTAGCCATAGTCCACGGCAGCCCCCCAGATATCCGTGAACTGCCTGGAGCAGTCGACCACAAGAAGCTGATGGGATGTTAATCGAATGCCAGCTACGGCGGTCGCCGCGCATATAACGAAGAGAAGGATCCCGGGGGTCATGCTGGGAACGCGGTGTCGTCGAACATCAAGGCCACGGCATCTCAAAACTGGCGCAGGAAGGATGACACGTAGCTCTGCAAATGTCTGGAACTCTGCCTAGATCTTTCATCCTGGGGCTTGTCTTTATGCCTATCATGGGTATCTTTGACTACGCCAAGCAGTGTATGGCGAGCATCTTTGACGAAACCCTCTGCCGACAAGCCGGGTAAAAGATGACCACGTCCCATTGGCCAAGCTATTTGCCGCTCTTGGAGCCCTTGCTTCCGCCATTGCCGCTGCCACCGCCAGAAGACTTGTAGGTAGAGCCGCCTTGGCCGTCGTTGTAGTAAGAGCTTCCGTTGGGGTTGGAGTAGTAGTATGAACCGTTGCTGTGTTGTCGTCGGCGTGTTAGTAGATGACTGGGAATTGGTTGAGAGGGGTCAAGGCAAGGGGAGACGTGCGAGTTGGAGTAGTGATAGGAGTTGCCGTTGGAAGCACCGCTGCCGTAGTCGCGAGAGCAGTAGTGGTTGCCCTGTTCCGCGTCAGTACGTCGATATCGTGCTATAGGTGTGGCGTATGTGGATGGGGAGGAAAGGGGGCCCAACCTTGCTGTTGGTGCCAGAGCTCTTGTACTCGTAGGATGGCATGGCTATGAGTTTGAAAGGATAATTGCGTGGGATATTTCGAAGATGATTGCACTTGAGAGACAGGTTATGGCTGATTGAAGAGAGGGGAAACAGAGCGAGTGGAAGGCGGACTTAATATTACTCGTGCCCGCTCCACTTTTCTGGATTCCGGCTCACCCGTCAGGTGGATTTGTACCAGAATATACCCCATGATCAAGGTGACGCCTTGTGCCAATTTCCAATATCTCGAGACGATGTCCAAGCAGCGGCCAAGGCCCAACAACTATTGCATCTTCGGATGCTAGACGACATTGAGAGTGGTTCTCAGCGGACCATGCTTTCCACGGATGGCGCCGACATCGACGATACCCTAGCTCGCTACGGCGATACGGAGCCCACCATTGCGCACCCGGGAAGTGACCTCAATCAACAAGGGCCTCGAATGCTTGTCGACATCAGCCCGGTGACTAGCTTCGCGGAGATGGGACACACCGCTGCAGCCACCTTCACACTGAACTATCTACAGACCGTGGCCCTTCAACTTGTTTGCGCATTTCTGGACAGGTATACCGCTAATCAGGACTCAGCCGGTCAGCATCTTCAATATACCGGCGGGCCGGGTGGCACAGGAAAGTCGAGGATCATCGATGCCTAAAGGACGTGTTCGCGGCGAGGAACCAACCACATCTTCTGCAGATAACCGGCACATCTGGCAGTTCGGCGGCTCAGATTGGCGGCACGACCATCCACTCGGCGTGTGGGTTAGATTCCCATCACGATCCAAACAAACCGCCTCCCCCCTTCTCGGAGGCGAAGAAATGGATATGGAAACAGAAGCTGGTCCTCGTGATTGACGAGGTCAGTATGCTGGGGGGGGCCACTCTGCACAACGTCAGTCGTCATCTCCAGGCACTCCGTGACTGTCCGGACGAGCCGTTTGGTGGGATGCCTGTCGTTCTACTGATGGGAGACTTCTACCAGTTCGCCCCCGTGCGGGAAACAAGCCTCCTGATCAACAGACCGCCGGACCGAACACAGACCCCCCTGCGACAAGCGACCATCTCTCCCCACAGCGGCTGCAGATTGTGGCATATGTTCAAAACTGTTGTGCTCCTCGAAGACCAAGTCCGCGCACTCCTGGATCGAGTCCGTAACGGGCGGCAGACCCAGCAAGATCTGAGCTTGCTCAATACCAACATTGTAGGACGCTCCCAAATCACCTTCCACGATGGTTTGCGTGCTATAACGCCACTGAACCGCACCCGGTGGGCCCTCAACATGGAAGCTGTCGTGGGCTGGGCGCGCTTCAACAAGCAGCATATCCGTATCTTTGTCTCGACTCACACCTGGCGCAACGGCACGCTTTCTCCAAACATCATAGCGCGAACCATAGGACAAGGTGACGACTCCGCTTGCAAGGTCCCCCGTCTTCTTCTACGCTCAGGGCATGCCTGTGGTTGTGAACAAGAACATCTACACTGGCTTGAAAGTGGTTAATGGGGCAGACTTTACTGCCGTGAACGTAATACTCGATCCCAATCTCCCAGGATACCACCACTTGGCGGATGACGTGACCATCCACTTCGGGCCACCGCTCGGCATTCTTCTGCAGTCCGAGGAGACGAAAGCCTTGGCGATACCGTCCCTCCCGGTGGGGACGGTACTCATCCGCCCCATGTCACATACACTTGATTCGAGTACTAGGGGGGCCTCAAAGTCGGCCAATCCCCGTGACAGCTCCGCAGTCACGGGGGGGCGGTTGACCTAGAAAAAGCTCGTTGACCTGGAAAAAAAGAAGTACATAAGAGCCCCGCCATTTTGCTAGAACTTAAAAGTACCTCTCTTCCCGCGATAAGTGCAACACATGTTCGCTTTATTGCAAGCTAGTCACAGCAATGCAATTGCATCACCATACTGCCTTTGAGGTGTTTTTGGTGTTTTGGCATCGAATTGAGCTCTATTCGATTTCTTCTTCCTTCCCAGCCTCGAGCGCGTCTTATGATTCCTCTTTATCGCATCTCGATGCCGTCAGCTTCAAGAAAGCGTCTGACGGCAAATAGCACGCTTATTGCCTCCATCACCACTAATTCGGCTGCTTCCTTTACAATCTCGCGATCATAGTACTCCGGCCACATGATCGCCTTGCTGCCCTACGCCGCGGTTGTGTAGCTCGCGGAGAATCCTGTAGCTTGCGCACATCCACTCATTGCAATTGAGGTGTGCGCGCTTGTCGCCCTGGCCCAGAGACCTCTGATGTCTCGAATCTTCGCCTCTGTGATGCTAATCCTGACGTTGAAGCGTACCTTGCGAAGCCAGCGGCGTATATAGCCAGCTTCGTCGCGAACCTCCTTATTCCTGACTCTCTGTGCCTCCTCTTCTTGTGCCGCTTGTCTATTGTATTCGTCTCGGGCGACTCGAATTCTAGCGTCACCGACGCTTAATGGGCCGTATCTCGCTACAATAGTTGTCTGTTGCTGGAGACTGGAGCGCTTGGCTTGTTTCTCTTTTATCTTCGTCATCTCGGCCGTTGCGGTGATGCCGTTGAGAGCGAGGTTTTGTCGGCTTTCCGCGCCTTCTCATAGACGTATGTGACGGAGGAGTCAACGGCATGTGGGAGTCAACTGATGTGGCTAGACGAAGCTGTACGTAGGCGTGATACCTCTGAATCGTAGAGAGGTTGAGTCTCGGCGTTGAAACATTGTTCCAGTTGAATCGTTGAATCGAGGGCGGCGTGTGTGGCGATGGTGTTGATGGTCTTGCTGCCTGAGGCCCGCCCTGAGGCTCGCTTTCGATCGAGCCCGGCAGGTCCTTAATGGCCACTTCTTCTGTGAGCGACGAGAGCGTGTCTTGAAGCTGGGAGAGCACGATCCCGGGATTGAATGGGAAGAGGCCACATTTCTGCCAAGATGAGAGAATTGTGTGCTTTTTGAAGGTGCGAGTGCGGACCTCTTGGAGATGATATAGAAAATCGGACTTGTTAAAGTCATATGCCCCGTCAGCAATCTCACGATGTAGAACTTGTTGATGCCAGTGTTTGTATGACCTAAAAACGCCGACATCAAGAGGTTGAAGCTGATGTGTAAGATGGGGAGGCATTGGGAAGACCTTAATGTTGTGATCGAAGCAGAAGTGAACCATCTCTTCTGTATAGTGATTATCACAGCTATCCATAAGTAGAAGCCGCTTCTGAAGTGGATCAACCGGTCTCGTGTGTTTCTCGAAGTGTTTGATCCATTCAATCGCGATGACATCGTTAATATACCCCTTTTGGCTGGTTGAAATGATGGTATCGTCGTCAAGGCTGTTGGTAACCCAACGGGCAGGAATTTGGACTCCAGGAGTATCACAAACGAAGGAATGCAACTCCCAGCTGCAGAAATAGCCTCAATCGCTGTGACCGACACTGTATCGTGAGCGTCAGATAAAATAGGGTATCAATCTCGCGGAAGGTCCAAATAAATGTGCCTTTATGTAGATATCCCACCATGAAGCCTGTCTCGTCGAAATTCCAGGTGTTCTTAGGAGAATCTCGTCTTTCTCGATCGTTTGAGACCAGCCGCGAAAAAAAGCCTCAACGTGGATGCGATCTTGCATAGCCTTCCGTTTGATGTCTCGCGCTGCTGCTCTTCGACGGTGGAAGAGTTCTCTATGCCGCTGTATAAAGCGCTTGAGTCATACATAACCTGGCTGAAAAGATGGGTAGTCCGCCATCCCCCCGCGAATTTTGAGCTGAGCTCGTCCCAGCTTCCACGCGCGACTCTGGAGGCCATGAGAGCAGTGGGCAGGAAGGTAACAGCAATAAACGTTGTTCAAAAAGCATGTGGCCATCCATGCATCCTGGTCCCGGTTAACAGTAATTCCTACAGAGGTGGCTCAGGTGGATAAAGAAACGCACCGTTGCATGACTTCCATATCCATATAATATGATCAGTCTAGCATCTGAGGCATCGGCTGGTCGCGTCTGGGGCAAATAGACCCTCTCAAGCCACTCAATAGCGATATGGTTGTCCGTCCATCCGGCGTTGGTTTAATATGAAGCGAAATCGCTTAAAAATCTGCAGTCGCTGCATTGGTCGAGACAGGAAGAAAGCCCTAACGAGCCCTACTTCTTTAGCGCTGCGAATAACCTTGACTTCGGGGAAGTCCCCGGCAATCTACCTGATCTAACGATGGTCGAGGAGATGCTCATTGCTCGGGTTCACGTACATGTCAAGGTCCTACAAGTGCGTGGCGCTCAATACAAATATCGCGGCCACGTTGTCCACTTTCTTCGCAACGTTGGTAGGCTATTTGAAGAGCTCCCGGTGCTACCGGAGGAGCTAGATATCGTGCTACTACGGCCTCCTAATATGGAAGGCGACCCTCGCTTCCAGCAACAGTTTGCTCGCGATTTCCGGGTACGCCGTTCATGCCTATTGACCAGGCTGCATTACCTACAGTCCCACCACCCGGGCTATCGCGATATTGTCGTGAGCCAGGATCGCCTGCAACGGCTTCCTCTTGATGGCAGCATAGCTGGTTCCATTGCAAGCCAAGTGGCTGACACACCTGACGGCGAGGTCCCCCAAGGCCCTGTTGAGGAGGCTGTGGATGAGGATCCTAGCGATGCCGACGCATCAGCGATATCGAATTTGCAGGCTACCGATACCGAATTGAACGCTTTGCAGTCCAGATCTCTCAACGGTACCCTTGACCCTGAACGTGTGACTGATCTGGAGTACATGCCGCGTAGCGCGCAGGCTCACCACCAGATGCCATTGCCTTCCATTCGCAGGACCCCTATCAACGAGTTCAACCGTTCCCAGCCGCTGTTAACGCTCGCGTCCCCCCCCCTCTCCCCTGACGGCAAGGCCGACTTCGTGGAGCCTCGCTTACGGAGCATCACGTACCAGGACTCCCTTGGCCATGCGATGAGATGGCGTGATGGACGTTTTGCCCGCCATAAGGCGTGGCCTTTCGTTGTCCTCAACACGCTGTTGCGTGCGTTGTCGCCCAGGGTGGCCAGACAGTTCACGGCTGCGGTTGCGCCTGCTATGGACTATGCCTCCACTGTTTGGGCTCATGCATGCGGAATAAGGGAAGGTTACTGGCTGAACCGAGCACAGATGGTAGGGGCGTATTTTGATGAAATACATGACATCCTGTCCCTACAGCAGTAGTAGGAGTCCTGGACACTAGCCATAGAACCTCGTTCTTGCAGGTCGGGAATGGCGTGTAGGCACCGACCGTCCAATCATAGTAGTACCGGCGACGGGACGAAAGTATTGAATTGGGTTAGCAGGCTGAGTCCAGTTGGGGCGACAGAATTGGTTGCAGTTATGCTGACTGAAGAAGGAGCTGATACCAATCGGAGCCAAGATCAGTTACACCGTACTCCCGGTTCCGGGACAGAATAACGGGGTCCGAGAGGACGACCTCGTGTTGGTATATGCCGCCTTGGAGGTCGCATAGAACGTAGTTGCCGCCCGAGAGGTGGTAGCTAAAGTGACTAAGGGCTTGCATAACCTCGGCCCATGCATCCGAGTCGTCGCTCCATCCGCTATTGCTGTTGAACTTTTGGTAGTCTTGGATAAAAGGCTCGCAAAGATGTCTTTGACCTGACCACTCGTCGGAACTGCCATCGTCCTCAAATCGCCATACCTGGGGTACGTTGATCTTAACGGCTTTGTTGACGATTCTTAATTGGTTGAACATATTGACAATCTCTAGGGCCTTATCGACAGCCTTGATGTCGAGAGTGAAGTAGTCGTTAGAAGACTGCGCCCGTCTTAAACCACTTAACAACACACGCTTCGCCTTGACGAGGACCTGACGTGTATTCCCCCTGGGGCCTGGGCTACCCAGCGGAAAGCCCCTTCGGCAAAAGGATTCTCTAGTTCATCATATGGAATGGAACTTCTGCCGGACTTGTTGTATCTGCCGCTATCGAGCTGCCTCGCGGACTGGGCGCCGGGTGATGGCCATGGACGCAACTCACGCATCGCGACACGCCGGGACCCTTGGAATATTGATTTGCCGTAAAGGAAGTACGAGGGAGATTGCGGCCGCAATCAGCACAATCGCGCATGGCCACGTCGGGCTGCAGACGCAGTGTAGGATGAGATGAAGTTGAGGTTGACGATGTGGGAAGAAATTGCGCGCCCTCTAGCCACTCGGGCAGCCTGCTATTCCGTGCCGAAGTGTCGAGTACTTGCCAAGGACTTCTCTGCGGGTGAAATAAAATCCGTATCCGTATCCGAGATGGTCTGTGCTCCAAGACGCGTAACCTGTTTTTTCTTCCATTCGACAATTTGCCCACCTCTACCAAACGGATTCAATAGTTCTTCTTTCTGGACCTCTGCTGAGCTAGTCCCACCATACACGGCATCGAGAATGGCCCTATTAAACAGTCTCACTGGCCGGCACAAGCCATCCAGCTCGGCTAAGCGAAAGCGCGACACTAAAGATGACGGAGAAGGACCACGACTCTTTGATCTTTGTGCCGACGACCCTTTTCTGTTCGTCAAAAGCTTTAAAATTGAGTAGATTCTGTATAAGTGAAGTTGGTCCAATTTGTATGGAGCGGCAACATTTTTGCGGAGCATAAGGGGGGGGTGAGCAGAAGGGGGGGGGTAAGCATGGTAGTTAGTTGTATCAACTCACTAGAGGCCTTTCACACCGAGATAGTTCAGGCTGTCAATCGCGCTTTCGGCGCTACGATTGCGATCGCCGACCAAGTGAGATAGCTTTTGTGTAGAACTTGCTACAATTTGACTACGATACAATTTTCTACTGAGTCGGTGGTCGAGTTCAAGGCTTGCTGCTTCTCACTGTCCGAGTCAGCCGATGCCTCCAGTAACTGTATCAACATACGGATTCTTTCGGCAGAGCCAGCCAAGACATCCCGGGCCACGATAGAGCCGGAATGTGCGCGACGCTTGCCCATTCCCCTCTTCTTCGCCTTTGCCTCTCGCGCCTCGACGCCTCTCAAGGCTGCTTTGGCAAAGCTGTCCGTGCACTTCATCATTTCGCAATCCCATAACAGCTGCATCGCTTGCTCGACCACCAGAGAGCTTCGCGTTGTCCTCCAACCCGACCGTATTGGCAGGCGACGAAATGTAGCAGTGCTCCAGCATGGGTAAGCTCAAGCTGCCCATGGCATGGCCTTCTGGATCCACATTTCTAGGATCCTTGTGCCGGGAAGGCAGCAGCAAATGGAACAGCTTCTTGATAATGGTGACATATGATGCGGGTAGCAGTGGGTTCTCTCGTCGTGACACAAACAGAGCAAACATCTGCAGAGGAGCAGCGATGCCTGCCGCAAAGCCATCGTGGAGCTGGTTAAGGTCCAACCGCCAGCGAAGCACCGAGGTGGCAGCAGAGAGAAGCTTGAAGAACCTCAGTCGAAGACGTATTGATTCGACTAGACCGGGATTCGAACAGCCAAACGAGACATCCCTGCTCGCGCCGCGGCGCTTTTCCGGCGTTGGCGGCTCAGAAATACTGGATGATATCGAATCAGCATCAAAGTAGTCGCCGAACTTGTCGCTTTTCAGGTCGAGGGCTTGCTCCCATTTCCGTTTTCTCGACGCCTTCTTAGGCCCCCTTAGCTCCTTTTCGAACACCTCCAAGAAGGCAGATAAGGATTGGCTTCCCCCGTCGGCAAAGAGCGCGTTCATAATTCGCTTGTGTCCCGTCTGACGACCGTCCCGATTCATATACATGTAAATCATGGATTCCGTGCGCCACGCAACGGACTCGTGTCCGCGCTTGCCACTGGTTTCGTGGGCCTCTTGATCAAGTCTTCCCCTCTCGGCCCAGTCGGCATCGAGGACGTCGAGCATGAACCCGAGCCACACTTTCCAGTAGCGCCACCGGTGAGGATGCACTGTCGCCGTGTTGAAAGCCCAGCCCACCGTGGACCACAAGTCCTGGCCTCGGCTCCAAACACTCGCCTCATTTGCCATTGCACCCGCAACTGATCCAGGTCGCCGTTCGAGTCGCCGTCGGACATGTCGCTATCGCTGGCAGAGCCAGGACGATCGGATTGGCGGGCCCATCTCGGTGTCGAGTGGAACTGGAAGGCGACGCGGAATCCGGCGTTGATGGGTCCAGCGATGGTCAGGACGTTGCGCAAGTAATTAAGCGCCAGGAGGACACGATCAGGTGATCCGGCTTGTCTGCACGAGTCGTATGCAACGGATGAATAACCAGCGTGCCCAAAAGTGCGAGATGGCTGGGGCGGCACCGGCACGGTCTTGCTGGTTGGAACTTGCCGGGAAATGCCGGAGCCTAGCATGCTGTTGAGCAAATTGATGGCACAAGTATCTAAAGCCTCAATCAGTCCCGTCTCCCCGAGAATAAAAGAACGCGCGAATAGAAAGACGGAAAAGGGTGCCTATACGGATTTGTTCTTCGAGAAAAATCTGGCAATGGTCTTTGAGCTCGCGAGGCAGCTGTCGCGCCTCACTGTACGGACAGGGAGTGGCAGGACTGCTGGATGTTGCCGACCCTTGCGTCTCCGAGTCCTTTGCCGCGTAAAAGGAAGCCGGCGACGAGTTCCGGGTGGTAGGCGACTTGGTCACCATGGCCAGACCGGGAGGGCTTCGAGCTGAATGGAGGCTCCGAGGTCGTGGTGAACTTGCGACGTCGCTACCTTATGGCTTTGAAGCACAGTGGATGCAGGTCCAGGAAGGGGTCACGGCAACCTGTCGCCGTGAGAGCACGTTAGCGGACTCCGGCGGCCAAATTCACGTAACGCTTCTGTCGAGTGGTAAATGCGGTACTGATGAGGTCCCTTTTCGTAAACGTGGTGAGATCTAGGCACGTGGCGACAAGGAAGTTCTTGCTTAGGCGGTAAATAGATTTTCCGTGACGCGTGGCGCGTGGCGCGCTTCAAAACCTGCGAGATTTTGATGAGACCATTACTTCCACCTTCTCCAACGCGCCTTTGTCTTTTGTTTCAGATCGCTTCTCCCTTCCGTATTCCGACTCTGCGTCTTGAAAAGTTGGAAGATATGGTTGAAACACGAAAGGTACGCTGTCACATCATCACAAGCAATCTCAATCGACGCATGCCAGTGACCAATAAACAGCATGCGTCTTCACCCGTAGAGGTCGACCAGGACAATCCGACAAAGAAGGCTCGTACGACAGCCAAATCCAAGAATGCCGTCAAGAATGTTGGCACTTGCTCGATGGACAAGAAGCAGATTGGAGACCGCGTTAAGGCAGCATTGGCTTTAAATAAGTACTCGCTTAATCGGACAGTGATAGATGCAAGTCACCACCTTGTTTCCATCGGACACAAGCTAAGACCTGACAGCTCCAAATGGACACAGCCTTCTTCCGCACCTTGTTCGTCGATAACGACAAGCTGAGCAAACCACTGCCGATTACCCCTACAGAGTTCGACGACACTACCCCCGTGGTCGCCGTGGATCTCATCCATCACCAAGCAGGCGAATTGCTCGGAGTCAGCAAGGTTAAGGAGGAAATAGGTTGGCCACGACGCACTTGGCGGCTATGTGTGTTGTGTTCTATCCGAGTCGAGGCACGGCAAAGATATGGCTGTCTGTGTAGTGTCTGGACTACTGCATGTGGTGGGTTTATAACTTCTGTGCATATAGAGCGTTCTGGGCGTGCAATGGCATGAGCAGCTGCCAGCTGCAGTCTGAGACTTCAGCGGGACATATGTCGTGACTCCGCTCGGTATTATTGCCTATCCCGGCCGGCTGTCAACGAGGAGAAGGTGTCGTAGGCCGGGTGGGGTTTTGGTGAGGCAATGTGTTGTCGGAATCTGCGTATACAACGGTACCAGTCGCCTCTAGCGGAGGTGGCCTACACCTTCACTTTTGGCGGCTGGTACGACACAATGGGAGTTCTTTGCTTCTGTCCAACGCTCCTGTAAAAGGACTGCGTCCGTATTGCTCAGAGTCGTCGAGTGTGAGGGCGCAGTCGTGCGTCGGCGGGATCTTGCCTCGTTGGCCTGGAAGACCCGGAAGGTCTTGTTATCGTCTCGTTCCGGCCGCGTATGTCTCGTCAAGGGCATGGCGGTGAGGGGTTGTATTGGCGCTTCTTTGCTGGGAAGCGGATTTTGGCTCGATAGGTTCGGCTTACGGTTCTCGGGGGTAGAATTTCGACTCGACCTACGGTACTCGACGGCGCCAATTTCTGCGAGGCTATCGTTGAGCTGACATTTTGTCGCTACTGACTAGCGGGTCTCAGGAAAAGATGTATATGAGGCTATAGAAGAAAGGTCGGACTTGAGTCCACCGTGCCCGCAGAAATAGGTGACCGTGTGGACACGGTCTCCCAAAGAACCTCCTCTAGATACTGCCCTAGGCCTATTGTGGGTGGCCTCCGCGACACATTTGTTATCCAGGTCTCTCGAGGCAGCAAGTTCACTACAGTGTGTAGCCGAACTGTGCCAAGTACTGCCACTGCGGGGTAACTTCTTGGAAGGGACAGCGGCGGCGGCCAATACATGCGCCCATGTATTGGCCGCGGCGCGGCACGGGTAATGCCCGCCCCACTTTATTGGGATTCGCCTTGGTTCCATCTAAGTGGGGCGGGCAACGAGTAATATGAGTCCGCCTTCCCCCTCACTTTGTCTCCCCTCTCTTCAATCAGCTATAACCTGTCTGTCAAGTGTAATCGTCTTCGAAATATCCCACGCAGCTATCCTTAGAAACTCACAGCCATGCCATCCTACG